ATTTATTTTGCTTCATAAGTCTTTGGGGCTTACAAGCGACCACACACGCTCTTGGTACCTCCTCGAAGAGGAGCTGCGCGAACTCACCGCGGCCAGGCATGCCAGGCCACTAAAACAGGCGCCAGTTGGATCTCGTCCGTGGAAGTTGACGAAGTGTAGAGTTGTGCAGAAAAGGGATGGCAATGCGTCTTGCCGGGGTGAATGGCTTACAGAGATCTGCATGATAATCACTACAACATGATGGAGGCCCGACCGGTGCAGGTGCCCGGCTGGTCTCCTCACCAACCACCTAGGCAACAGCAGCCAACCTTGCGGACTTGTACAACCCCTCTGTAATTGAGGGAAGCAAACAGCAAGGAAGGCGACAATTTCACGGCGCCCTGCCGGCTCCTGGTGGAGTGCAGCGCTGTGCCAGGGGATCAATGGCAGGAATTCCGACAGGAACTCATGTGACCCCGAGGACAGTGTGAACACAAATTCCTGCTGAATTTCTCTGTTCTTGATAACCCACCCAATTCCAGATTGATCCCATTCCCCTTAAAAAGAGGCCTCACTCACTTACACCAGTTCATCTCAGCCCAACACACCCAAACCCAGCCCCACTCCACCCTATCCGCCACCCACTACAACACTCCACATGTCGACACCCGTTGCAGCCACCACCCCCGCAGTCCCGCTCGGCGTAGCGACCAACACGACCGTGTCGACGCCCGTCAAGAGGCAGGGCTTCTTCGGCCGCCTCAAGGCCCGCATGAACCACGGACCGATCCTCGCCATCCGCCGCGTGGTGTGGATCCTGCTCTCGGGCATCCCGCTCGCCCTGCTCTTCGTCATGTCGGCCATCGCCTTCGCCGTGACCATCATCGGCCTCCCGGTGGCGTGGGAGCTGCTCAAGGTGGCGCGCTACGCCTTCTGCCCGATCGGATACAAGGCCGTGCCGGCGTCGGGCCGCGGCAAGAACCCGCTGCGCAACCCCAAGTCGCCGCTCACCGTGGCAGCCAACGTGATCTGGGCGCTCTTCTTCGGCATCCCGATCTCGGTCATGCTGCTGGGCATGTGCATCGTGCAGGCCCTCACCATCGTTGGCATCCCGTCGGCGCTCAACTTCCCCAAGATGGCCATCTTCGCCCTGTGGCCCATCGGCAAGAAGATCGTGAGCGCCGAGAAGTACAAGGCCGCCAAGACCGCCCGCCGCGACCTCGCCACCGCCGAGGCCGTGAGGAGGAACGAGGCCGCCGCCGTCGCCGCCACCACTCCCGTCGAGATGGTCTAATTTAAAACACACTATAGAACAGATAAAACACAGAACATATTGTTCGACATATACTGTTGAAGTTTGCTGCCAACCAATCTACTGTGCCCGCTCACATTCTTGCCGATGCTACTGAAGCACGCACCACTGCTGCTGGGCCTCTGCATCGGTGCTGCTGGGCTCGGCACCGGCGATGACTGGAGGAGGGAAGAGCTGGGCGAGGAGGGATTCGCTCGGCACGTGGTCCGGCGTGGCCATGCCCGCCGGTCGCTGCCAGCTGGTCTGCATGGCTGCGACGAGAAGAAGAAAGGCGTCCACGCCCTCGTTCGCCGTGGCGGAGCACTCGCAGAACAGCACGCCCCATTCCTTCGCACGCCGCCTGCACACGCGACGGTACGTACGTCGGTCAGTCGTGTGTCGTGTAGAACGTCGACGTGTGCGCGATCGGCGGCGCACCTGCCCATCTGCTCGGTCACAACGCGGTTCTTCGGCGCCAGATCGGTCTTGTTGCCCACCAGCACCACGCTCACATCTTCAGGCGCATACCTGCATATAATGCCCACGCGATGCAGTCCACTATTGTGCGCTGGTGCATGTTCAAGGGAGGGCGTGCGTACTTTCGAATGTCCTGCAGAAACACGGTCGTGGCGTCAAAGCTCGGCATGTCGGCGATGTCGTAGACGACCAGCACACCTTTCGTGACTTGACAGAAGCTCAAGTTCGCGCTCGAGAATCGTGTACGGGACAGGCGGATGTCAAGGTCCAACCAACCACTACTGGTGGTGGTGGTGGTGGCAGGAGCAGGACTATCGGCCGAGGTGCTCTGTTTGTGGCGGCGCAATATCGACACTTTGCCCACCCCGCTGTCGGTCCAGTAGTCACATCTGGTAAGAACAGCAATGTCAAGAAAAAATATTACGTGCGATCAACGTACGGGAGGCCGAGAACGACGATTTTGATCTGCTCGTCGTAGTTTGTCGGTGTAGAGCGTCGTTCGGGTTCTCCTCTTCGGGGCGACAGTGCTGCCGGCCTCTTCCTGGAATAAGCCCGATAGTCAGTGGCATCCTGTGCGGCTAGTGCTTCACCATCATCATCATCACGTGCCTGTACTGGGTGATGGCGGCGCGCAGCCACTTCATGTAGGCCACCTTCCACCCGCCTTCTTCCCTGCGTGGCGTCATTGCAGTGGTCGTGCAGTGGGCACACAGTTGGTGGTGAAGGAATGAGGGTGCGTACGTGATGTGGCGGTCGGCCCACGAGGGATGCCCAAGCGGCTTCCACAGCGCATCGACTCTGCTAATCGCTGCCAACGCCTGGCACGTCTGCACACCCTCGCAAGACACGCACACGACGCACGCAACTGATTAGTCACCGGTGGCATCGGCCAGTGAGGCCCTCTGCAAGCTATGATGCTACGCACCAGGCAGACCGAGCAGAGGTCGCGAGGGTTCGCCACGAACGACAGCGCGTGCACCACCACCTCCTGCCCTCCCCCCCACCGCCATTGTTAGTATTAAAACAGCTGAGCATGCAGAGGCGAGGGCGTGATGCGGTGTCGAACTGCGGGCAGGCTCCACAGACCGAGCCGCTGTTGGTCGCCGCCGTCATCGCCGTGTTGGTGTGCCAGACCCCAGAGGAGCTCGGACATCTCTTTCGGCTTGCCACCTCGTTGTGTAAAATAACTTAATTCATTTATCTCGGAATTGAAATGAAAAAAAAAAGGTAAATAAATGTAGACACGCTACTGCAGCACACACCGCTGCTGCTGGGTCTCGGTGCCATTGCCGCCCGGCGAGGAGAAAGAGGCGGCGGTGGCGGTGGTGGGAGTAGGAAAGAGCTGGGCGAGGAGAGCGTCGCTGGGCACATGCGCCGGCGTCGCCATGCCAGACACGTACTGCCAGCCGCCCATTATACCCGCGATGACCATATCGAACGCATCGGTCACGCCCTCGCCTGCCTTGGCCGAGCACTCGCAGAACCGCGCGCCCCATTCCTCCGCCCGTTGCCTGCACACGCATGCGTTCGTGTGTCAGCGTGCGTGTTGTGTGTCGAGTTTGCGTGTGTGTCGGCAACGCACCTGCCCATCTGTTCGGTCACAACGCGCTTGTCTGGCGCCAGGTCGGTCTTGTTGCCCACCAGCACCACGCTCACATCTTCGGGCGCGTGCCTGTATGCCCGTTGCGTGCGTGCGTGCGTGCGTGCGTGAGGCTAGAGGGGAAGGAGAGTGCTGAAAAAACATGACTTCGTACCATTGAATTTCTTGAAGGAAACCGGCGGTGGCGTTGAAGCTCGACAGGTCGGCGATGTCGTAGACGAGGACCAGACCTTTCGCGCCGCGATAATAGATCGGTGTTACACTGGTGAATCGCTCCGGCCCGGCGATGTCCCACAATTGCATCTGTGGACCACCCTCAGGTTAGAGGTGGAATCACACACAACTGCACGCACACACACACACGCACACACGCACACTATACGCGCCCGCACCTTGATCCGTGCGCCGTTCCACGTGACCGGGTGATTTACAAAGTCAGATCCGATAGTGGGAAGACTGTTGACCGTCATGGTGCCCTTTGTGTAGCGGTGCAGGACCGACGTCTTGCCCACCCCGCTGTAGATCCACACACGCACGAGGCATCACCGCACGAGTGGGACATCAATTCATCAAATAGACGGCCACACATCAACGTACGTGATGCCGAGCATGACGACTTTGGCGAGGAGGTCGTAGTTCGTCGTTTGCTGTTGTCCGCCTGCGGGGGGCAATGGGGCCGGTGATGCGGGCTTCCTCTTCCTGCCAGCCAGGTCACGAGTTACGATCAGCAAACTCACCAAAACACGTTGGTCCTGCCACGCAGCTGTGCGGCGAGTGAATCGTCATCACGTGCCTGTACTGTGCCATGGCGGCGCGCAGCCACTTCATGTAGGCTCCCTTCCACCCGCCTTCCTCTCTGCGTGGCGTTGTTGTTCAGGGTACACGCAAGAGCATCAATGTGAGGAATGCAGCTTACGTCATACAGGAGTCTGGAATGGAATGCAAGGATAGGAACGGCGCGTACGCGACTTGGTGGTCGGCCCACGAGGGATGGCCGAGCGGCTTCCACAGGCCGTCGTCTCTGCTGATCGCTGCCAGCGCCCGGCACGTCTGAACACCCACGTGAGCACCACTTCGTTCAGCGCCAAGCGACTAGACATTCGCCACCCCCCCCCAACCCTCTATGAGGCCCTTTGCAAGCTATGATGCTACGCACCAGGGAGACCGAGCAGAGGTCGCGAGCGTTGGCCACGAACGACAGCGCGTGCACCACCACTTCCTGCCCATGACCACCACCGACGGACAATAAGTGTGGCGAAGGGAGACGAGGAGCCGAACTCATCAGACGACGACGACGCACCGGAGGAAGGCTCCACAGACCGAGCCGCTGCAGGTCATGGTCGTCATTGTCGTCATCGCCGTCAGTGTGGTGGCGGGAGAGACTGCGGAGGAGCTCAGTGATGTGATCCTGCCGCGACTCGCTCGCGACCTGGCCCGGTGTGCCGAACTGGCTCTCGGCCGCCGGCGAGGCGCCGTGGGCCACCAGCAGGCGCACGATCTCCTGATGGCCCTTGCGCGACGCTGCCCCAGTTCGTGAGCCCGCAAGCCAACAGTTTTTGGGAGAGCTCCGGAGTAGGGCAGGGTAGGTACGTACCGTAGTGAAGGGCGGTGTCGCCGTGGGTGTTGCGCGCGTCGATGTCGGCCACCAGGCGCCGGGCGAGGAGCTCGCGCACGCCATCGATGTTGCCCCGCAGGCACATCAGATGCAACACCGTCTGTGAATTCAATTGAACAAAATTTCATTCAGCACACGGCACACGGCACGACACGACCCACAACACGACAGACAGTATCAGCGGACCTCGCCGGATGTGGTGGGCACGTTGGGGTCGACGCCGGCGTCGAGCAGGATGTCCAGCAGCTTGCCCGCAGCCTTCCGCTCCTCGACTTCGTCCTGTTGTTGGCGAGCCGGTGAGAGAGGAAAACATACGCAGGAGGAAAGGGGAGCAAGTGCACCGCATCAGCAGAAAGGAAGTCGCGTTGGCCCTGTTCGGCGAGCACGTGGAGGGCGTGCATGCCATCGACGCTCGACCGGTGGTGCGGGTCGGCTCCGCTGGCCAGCAGCAGCTCCACCATCTTCACGTGGCGCGCCTCCACCGCCACCAGCAGCCCCGTCCTGCCCCGCTTCACCCTTAATATTTATTTATTGATTTATTTATTTATTGATTATTTATATTATTGAAACTTGAAAGACAAAGTAATGTCAAAGGGGGTGGAACCAGCCAAGGCGATCAACGAAGTCAACCAAGCGAGGGCTGTTCTGCAAGAACCGCCGTGCTTCCAGCACGTTGCCAGTGGCAGCGGCCTCCAAGAAGGCCGCCCCCTCCCTCTGTTGCTGTTCCATCCACAGGCGGTAGAGTGTTGTTTCAGTCCTAGGATTATTTTGGTGCGGCCCATGGGCGTGTGTAAAACAATTCCTTGAATTCCTTTTTACCCCACACGGCGGCGACAGTGCCCAGAGATCAGATGTTGGCTTCCAGCCAGGAGGTGACCTTGTTGGGCATGATGACCTCGCTCGGGTCTTCGAAGTTGCCCGCCACGGTCCACTCCTTGTTGCTGAGCGTGTGGGTGACCTCCCGCGCGGTCGGGTCGTGCCGGACTGTCAGCTTGCCGATGCTGGCCCGAAACGTGTCCCTCGCCGCCGCATCTTCCGCACACACGCTCGCCACGCCCTTGAGCAGCGGCGCCAGCAGGAACTGCGACTGACCCTCGATGAGCAGGGTCACGGCCACCTTGCTCTGCGGCCCGGCCAGGAAGCTGCCGGTCTCGACCACCAGCTCCACCGGCCCACCGGCCAGATGCGACAGCTGCTGAGCGAATGAGGGAATGTCCTTCTCCTTGAACTGGGCCAGCTGCTTCCGATCGAGCAGCCCCACCTTGCCTGACACGCCCTACAGTATTGTAAAATAAAGAAAAAGAAGAGCGTTAATGGCTGTGCAACACAAGAGCCAAGGAGAGCTTTGGGTGAATGTACGCTGAGGCCGGCGGTGGTGGCGGGGATGGAGGACTCGACCTCCTCGATCACTCGGGCCAACTTTTCCTTGGCTTCGGCCAGCCACGACTCCAGGGCGCTGCCCTCGCCCACCGCACCCGCGCTTTGCACTGCAACAATACAATAAAATATAAAAACAAAACCAATTCAATTCAAAGCATCCATTTGACAAGTGCCACACAAAAAAGGCAGAGCGTGGTACGTGTGACGGGAGAGCCGTGGGCGTAGTCGCGAGCCGCGCTGCCGCCCTCGGCCAAGTGGAGCCGGCCGGGTCCGTGGCGCTGTCCGTTGGCCCACAGGCCCACGTACCGGCTGCCGTCGGCATAGACCTCCTCGCCGCGCCCGTGCTTGCGGTCGTAGCGCCACTCGCCGGAGAACGTCGTCCCGGCCAAGTGGTCGACCTGCTCGCCGAATCCGTGCCTGTGGCCGTGATCCCACTGACCCCTGTGCCGCATGCGTGTGCGGTGTTGCGTGTGTGTGTGAGCGATGCGCGCGTGCCGGTGCTGCTGTCTGAGAGCAGAGAGCGCGTAGATTTACCGGTAAGTGCCGACGAAGGCCACGCCGGAGGAACAGGTGTTGGGAACGAAGATGGGCGCCTTGCCGAAGCCCTGCCTGAACCCGTTGACAAACTCGCCTTCGTAGAGGGCAAACTTATAGCGCTCCTCCGTAATCGTGCCTGGGTCCGAGTGGCTCAGAACACTTCACCGCACAACACACCGCACACCGCACACCGCACACCGCACACCGCACACCGCACACAACATACCGAGACCCTGGGGAAGCCACAGGTTGTGGCCGTTGGCGGCAGTGCCGACGAATCGAGAGGTAAACACGTCGGCTGCTGTGTGCGCCCGCAAGTGGGCTCCGGCGGCGTAGGGGTTGAGCACATAGGTGTGCTGGGTGGCGCCCACGGCCAGGAGATCCCTGACCAGCGTGTGGTAGGCCGGGGCCTTGCTGGAGCCAATGTCGACAGCCGGCCCGGAGTAGGTGAGCGTTGAGGGCTTGCTGGTGTCATCTGTGGCGGAGGGGTAGGCAGCAGTAAGGCTGACCTGGTTTGTTGCCCAGCGATGAGTGTAAGTTTGTTGTTGCAAAAAAAACCTCAGTTGAGAAAAGAGCAGTGCGTGAGCGCACCTTGGCGGGAGCGGCGGTCATGATGGTGATGGTGATGGTGGAATGCTTGGGTACTGGTGTGGGCTCCAAGTTGAACAATACGTAGAGACTTCAAGAAGTCGGAGATTAAGGGGTCCAGTCTTCAGTTCATCGTGAAGGCATTGAGCTGCGGAAGACAACGTCAATGTCGCCACCAAATGAGCTGAAAACCTTATCTTCGGTGAAGTGGACCTGTCAGCCCGCAGATTGGCGCAATCTGCAAGTAACTAGTTCTGTTGGCTGGGGGTGCGGATTATGGTGTGAGTTGCGCCACACACCAGAGGTGGTGCGTCAATGTCGGCTCCGGCGAAGTCAAGCAAGCAAGCAAGCGAGGGGTTGATGGGTGATTAAGTTTTCTGCTGCGTTCTGGACAACCAGTCACACCACGCCAGGTTCCTGTACAACAACTGACAAAACAGCTACAGAGCAAGAGCGATCAAAAGAGAGAGAAGAAGAAGGAAAGGGGAAGCCTCTGGAAACGTTCCGTTGAACCACGTCCCCGTCCGGTAGAGCTCTCTCCTCTCCTATGCTCGGGCGCTCTCGTCCTCTGCTGCCGAGTTTTTCTCCTCTTCGTCGGGACTGCTGGTCCAGCCCACGAGAAGAAACGAATGCCAGTGTGAGCTCATCGACGTGAAGAAGAAGAATGAAGAATGAAGAAGAACGAAGACGGGACGCACATCTCGTAGGGGGAGGTGCAGTCCTGGAGCGATAGGAGCAGGGCCTGGCGAAGCATTTCGTCTTCCATGTCCTCCATGCTCGGATCGTAGTCCGCCGACACGTCCGGCACGACTCTCGGCGATCGGTACGAGTCGCCGCCCGATGAGGTGCCCTCCAGCGCCTCTGCCACCTTCATCGTCTCCTCTGCACGACCATTAATAGAAGAATGTTGAGCATTCTTTAGTTTGGGCCTCGCACATGCCACACTCCACCGTCCAAAGGTGGTGCGTGTGTTGGGGTGGCCGCACGACGCACCTTGTTCCTCGGCGGAGAGCAGGGCGTTGTGGAAGAAGATGCTGGCCGAGTCGTAGAAGAAAGGAGGTCGGGCCGAATTGTGGTCGCCCTCGACAAGCAGCTGGTTCTTGTCTCCCACATACTTCTCATACCTAGTGTAGCGATGAGCGTGTGTGTGTGTGTGTTGCCCCGTCGTGTCCAAGGGTCAGCGTCTGGCCGTGTGCGTGCATGCGCGTGTGCGGTGCGCGTGTGCGAAGGGTCGGCGGACGCACAGTTCGTGAGAGTGGTGCGAGCCAATGAATGTGTCACTCTCTCCGTGCACGAAGAGAGCCGGAATGAAGCAACTGCCCACCACGGCTATCGGTTCCAATTTGCTGTGTGGATACCCACAACGCAGAAAGCGAATGCTCGTCAGCTCGAGGCGGGCGGCTTGAGTTTGAACGAAGAGGAGCGGTGGGAGTCCAAAAGGCAAAACGTACTTGATATCAAACTTGGCCTTGCTCACGATCGTCTTGCGAATCATCCGCAATCCAATGCTCACCATCATCTTAGGTATTTTTACCTGGAATGATCGTGCAGCGTTAGCCCCAAGTTCGCTTGTCGACAAGGAGACGCGGTGCGCGCGAGTGGGACCGTACAGGGGAGTTCTCTACGAGCTCCTTGGCGACCTTGGTGAGCGACGAAAACGGGCTGTCGAGCACCATGCACGCAATGGACGGATCCGTTGCGCCGTACATGATCGAGGTTGCGGCGCCCATGCTGCGACCCCACAGGCCGATGCGCGACACGGTGCCCGTGCTGCGCAGATGCTCCACCGCGGCCACCAGGTCCTCCTTCTCGTAGTAGCCCAGCGACACGTACTCCCCTGATAACACCAAACCCAACGGCGCCGTTAGCTCCAACTCGCCATGTGCGCCGTGTGCGTCGTGTCTTGAGTGTCTTGAGTGCTGCGTGCGTACCCTCCGATGAGCCTGAGCCGGTGAAGTCGAGAGCGACGAGCGTGATGTTGTACGGCAGGAGGATGGGTAGACATTCGAGGGCGTCCAGACGGCAGCCGCAGTTGCCATGGAGGTAGATCACGCACGGCAGCTGCTTGCGCGGTCGCTCGCCTGCAACGGGCTCATAGTGACTCGCTTGAATGGTCAAGCCCCGCTTGTTCACCACCTGCGCCGCGTCGTGGCCACGGTCAGCAAATTAAAATAATTTTTTTACGATTAAATAGATGATAAAATAAAGAACGATGAACAATAAAGGAAGAGGTGAGGGGGCATCTCAGCACCTCAAAGTCAGTTCTCTGGAAGGTCCTCCTGCCCAGACGGAATTTGGGTGGTCCCAGATCTGCAGTGGTGTAGTGCATTCTGTAGGAATGCAGCAAATGTTGTTATTTTAGGGTACTTAGGGGGGTAGGCATCGCGAACATCGTACCGAGGTGGCCTTATGATGGCCTCCACCATGGTGCTGTAGGTGCCGCCGATGGATGACAATCCCAACGAAAGAGAAGGACCACCCTCCATGTGCTCACTTTGGCAGATCCTCCTTTTGTAGCAGATGCGTTCAATTGAATCTAACTCGTGGCCGAGTCGTGGCGTGTCAGCAGATGTTTCGAGCTTTCTGATTTCGGAATGGAACATAACTGGCGCTTGCTTCGCGCTCTCTAGTCCTCCCGACCATCACCGGTTATTTTCTGCTTTGTTGCTGCGGAACTGCGCACAAGAAGGTGATGAAGGTGAACGAGAACGGACTGAGGGCTGTGGCTGAGTTGTATTTGTGTACACAAAGAACCGACGATGGCCGTGTGTGTGGATGTGGGTGGAACTCTCCTCACGACTACGCAGGTGGTTGGTGTCCAGAGGAAGGCAAGAAGAGGTTGTCTAAGGTCCTTGCGCTGCGTCGCAGGAGAGCTGAAAACGGAGCGCTTAGCTCTCCTTCCTGGACACTGATGAACACAAGAAGAAGAAGAACATCACACACACGTGTGTGTAAGAACTGCGGACCACAACAGGTGGAGCTCGGACAAGACGAAGGCGGGCGCAACGTACGTGGGGTAAAGGAAGAGAAGTACTCGTCGTCGGTAGACGAAGAGTCGGACGAATCTGAAGAGTCTGAGTCGCTGTCGGAAGAGTCGGAGGACTCAGACGAATCCGACTCGTCCTCAGAGTCGGTCAGAGGCTCGGCCTCGAGCAGCTTCTTGTCCAGCTCGGGGATGATCGAGGGGACCTGATTACGGATGAGAGCCCAGTTCACCTTGCCCTTGAAGAACGGATGCTCCTGTGATGGTCACAAAGACGATCGACAACGTTGGCTCAAGTTTGTTGCGCATTCTGATGGAGTGAGCGCCGCTGGCAGCGGGCACAAAGGAGGAAGAAGTACCTTGATATCGGCAGCACCGTGCTCCGAGCCCAAGCGCTTGCGAGGGTCCTTGTCGAGCAGTTTCTTGACCAAGCTCTTGGCTTCCTTGCTCGTCTGTTCAAGATCATCGCCAGCGTAAGGAGAAGATAAGAAAGTGAGTGACTCACTTAGATGAGTTAGAAGAGCAATGGCTGCAAAACGCACCGCTGGCGTCTCCGGGAACTTGATGTTGGTCTTGTGAAGGATGTGGTCAAACGTGTGCTCCCTGGTGCGACCGCGGAAGGGCGTTTTGCCGTACTGATAAGGAAATATAACCATTAGCATGACGGCTCAACAAGTTGCACAGTGAGCGATAAGGAGAGGACGTACCAACATCTCATAGAGGAGAATGCCAAAGGTCCACCAATCGACCGATGAGGTGTGGCCGTAGCCTTCAATCACCTCAGGCGCGATATACTCCTCGGTACCCACGAAGGAGTTGGTAACCACGGAGGGTCTGGTGTCGAGCTTCATCTTGCCGGTAAGCATCTGCGTCACCACCTTGGGATTCACGGGTGTCACAGATTGCTTGGACAGATCGAAATCTGTGAGCATGACATGCCCGCTTCCGTCGAGCAGCAGGTTCTCCGGCTTCAGGTCTAAAATTAAAGAAGCATATCGGTGAGATTATTCATCAATCACTGTTGACGGGCACTTTACCTCTGTAAATGAAGCCCATCATGTGCAGGTACTCGAGCGCCAGAAGAACTTCGGCACCATAAAACCTCACCTGGTCCTCTAAAGCACCAAATGATGATATGTAAGATTTTAGCATTTATCAAATATTAATAAATTGATAAATGCTCGTACCCGTAAGGCATTTGCCAGGCTGGCGTTGCAGCATCTTGAAGAACTCGCCTCCCGCACAATAGTCCATGATGAAGTAGAGGTTGTTCTTCGTCTGGAATGAGTAGTGCAGCGTGACGATGAAGGGATGGTTGGACGTGGCCAAGATCTCTCTTTCCGTGAGGGCTCTCTTGACCTGTTGGGCAGTGGAGGGCATAAGCAACGATCGGCAAAAGAGGAAGTGCATCAACACAAACACAGAGATTTGAAGGATTATGCACCTTGTTCCTGGTAATCATCTCGCTCTTGTCGAGCACCTTCATGGCGTAGAGCTTGCGCTTGTCCTTGTGCCTGACCAGGTAGACCTTACCGACATCACCTCTGCCCAGCACCTTCAATTTCTCAAAATCTTTGCGGCTCACCTCAGAACGCTCCCCACGCTTCTTTTTCTTAGCCTCATCATGCCTGGGCCGCTCCCTCCTGCCCGTCTTGCCGTGGCCTTTCCTCTCGCCTCTTTCCCGCAACTTCTCCTTCTCGGCCTTCTTCTTCCTCTCGCGCTTCTTTTCGTCCCTGTCTCGATCGCGCTCTCGCTCTCGATCTCTCTCGCGCCTTTCCTTCTTGTCTTTCTTCTTACGCTCTTCATCTTTGTCGCGATCCTTCTGCTTGGTTCTCCGTGCTAAAGAAGGTGAACTCTTGGACTCCATGCTGTGGTAGATGCTGTGCGCGTGGCTGGAGGTTGCAGGTTATAAAAATAATAAAATTTACAGTAGCTGTTAGTGCTCCGATACCAGGAAATAACCAAGCTTGGCCTCCACGTCAGCCAAACAGCAAACCAATGCACGTATCGCCTTGATCATTGCATTACTGCATTAACTGATCATCTCCACAGTATGCCACAGTGTGGTAAACACACGTTGCACGGCCTTCGTTTCATCATGGTTGTGATGGTGATTTGGCGGGAAACCTTTCTGCCTGCGTTTTCGCTTGGGGTGTTGGCCGCTGCGGAGGGCCGCCAGCTAGCACCTCCGAACAAGCTCGGACTCACGTAGCAGTGAAGCATGCAGTTCTACGCAGAGTACGCATCTCCTCTTGCCACCATGTCTTTGGTCGGTGAGTTAATACGTAGCTGTTCCGTACAGGCTGACGCACCCGCTGTCGTTTGCGAAGCTGGTGAAGATGTTGAACGCGCTCCTTGACACCGTTAACATCGACATCAACGAGGAAGGACTCCACATCCTCACGTTGGATAGTACGCACCTCGCCTCCCTTCAGCGGATTGCGCTCACTTGTGCTGTAGCGGCACAGGTGTTCCTTCTGGAGGTGGTGCTACGTGCTGATAAGGCCTTCCGTGTCTTCAAGTGGTTGGCCTCCACTCCCCCTCGGACTCATAGAGTTATACCCACGCTGAATCTTGCCTCCCTACAGGCAGCAGCAACAAGTCACTACGCTAAGCCTGAAGATATCGGCTCTTTACAAAGGTTCTTCATCCCACACGGTGCATGTATCTACGACGACACAATCTCATGTCCTCTTGCTTGGCTGCAGTGCTCAAGCGCGTGAAGAAATACGACCACTTGGTACTCTCGTTGGCCAACGACGATCCCGACTGCCCGTTAACTGTGGTACGCTCGTACCAGACTGTCCGCTCACTTCATTGGCGTACTGATCGCAAAATTGAACATGCCCAGATCGTCAACTCCAGCCAAGGCGACGTGGACAAGAAGAGTGTATACCAGGTATGACGAACTTGGGGGGGGATATCTTCCAAGCTCCTCGTACTGACCTCCCTTCGCTCTGCGCAGCTCTCGCAAATGACACTGCTGAATCACGGTACGTCACGCAAGGCAAGATTGTAGTTCTTGATGTCTATGTGCCTGTGGTTGATCTCGCGGTACTGAACCACAGAGCGCATCCACATCCCTGACCGACAGTATCCCTGCGGTAAGTGAACCAGCGCTACAAGCGTGAGGACGACATGCGGTTCAGCTGCTGATATCGGTGCAGAAGTGCTTCTGCCTCCGCAAGTGCTGGCCGATGCCTGCCTCGACCTCTACGGCCTGGGCCAAGAGCTGCGCGTCGAGGTTAAACGTGGATCGGGAGTGAGCTTCTCAGGTACCGAAAGACCAACCGTGCCCTCAACACAGCTCCTATTCACGCTGCTCACCCTGGGAGCTATCCAGTCGAGAACGCCCTCACGACCGCCAAGGTGAGCCTGAGAGAGACGGTACGCTCAGACAGCCCAACCACGTCGTCTTAGAACTTGGCCATTTACGACACACACAGAAAGGGAGCGAGACGGGCATCTTGGCCATCCACACGCAGCAGGACCACAGTGAACTCTTCGCGTTCAAGTTCTTTGCCGCCATCGCCAAGGGATGTGCAAGCCTCCCCGATTGCGAGGCCCTGCTCCTGCAACTGTACGCCCGCCAGGTCTTATAAACGTTTGCCTTCACCGCTCTTCTTTCTCTCACCATCGCCGTCCTCTCTGCCCAGGGGTCCAGGAGCGCCGTTGAGCCTCCTATGCCAGCTGACCAACACGGGCCACCTCAACTTCTTCCTCGCGCCACTCATTCCAGGTGATGACTAGTAGGGCTCACCTCCTGAGAAGCACTCACTCTAGATGTAGAAATAGAGGTACGACGTTTATCGTGAACAACTAGCAGCACCACAAACGCCGAAGAGAAGGAACGGCGGTCGGCCGTCATCATGAGCGAGACGATCAGATCGAGTAGAAGGTGAGGCCGAGGGTGAGCAGAGCCGTGGCGCCCATGAGCGCGTAGCTCGAGGTGTAGACCTCGGGGAGGGTGAGTCCCTTGGCCGTGTAGTCCCAGTACTGTCACATCACAAGGGCACAACATATGAAGAAGACGGTGATGAGGTGAGCCGAGTGCTCCGACAAGACGAGAATGAGGCGAGCTCCTTGGTGAAGAGGAAAGTGGAGTGATCACGCACCAAGTGCCTGATGCCGGCCAGCGTGTGGTAGACGAAGGGGAAAGAGACGAGGAGCTTGGTGGGGTAGACAAGGAGGGGCACGGCAGCCTTGAAGGCGTCGATGTAGACGGGAAGATCGTGAGCACCGAAGAGAGCGAGGGCACCAGCAGTGTAGATACCTACGGCGCGATGTTGTGAGCATAATGTCGTGACGATGCCAGGCAATCATCCGAATTTTGGCGGCTCAAGCGATTAGAATGCGCCGTCTACGGCAGGTCTTGCTCGGATAAATTAATCGCGATAATCAACAATATCCCTTAAGGCCCCCCCATATTCGAAGAATTGAGATGGGAGAGTGTATGTACCGGCGGTGAGGGCACCACCAGTGGCGCGGTTGGTGATCGAGGTCAAGGCGGGCAGAGGGAACCTGTAGATGGAGACGTGGGGCGAAAGAGGCCTGTTGGGCTTGGCCTCCGTCGAGGCATCGGAGGGGAGGGTGGCGAGGGTGCGAGTCGCCAGCGCCACCGGCGAGCGGCTGAGGACCTGAAGGCCTGTGACGGTGCCGCGTACGGCGAACAGGGGAGCGGTGCGAGCGGTGGCCTGCCTCAGCATTTTCTTTCCTCTTGGCTAATTAACAATCGATTGTTGAATCAATGACGCAAAATCTGACGTGGGTGTAAATCTAACGTAGAAATTAGCAGGGAAATATACCAAGCATACCGCCCGCAAAATTTTGGCCCGCTACATTTTTCTGAACGCAACAGCCGCTGCCATTTCGCGAGAACTGGCATGATGAAGGTCGCGATTACCCTCAGCATCGTACTGTTGCTTGGGGTGGTGGTTGTGTCTGCTGTGGGGGACTTCGACATTCGCTACCACCTCGGATCGAAGACACCCTATTGGCCCCAACAAAATGACACGACCTACACGCCCCCGCCCGATGGCTGCCACCCTGTCCATTTCAATCTTCTCGCACGTCACGGATCGCGTCGCCCAAGCGGGTAGCGCTCAATCTTGTCTTTTGGCAAGTGCATTTGACGAGAAGACTTATTTCTCATTCATCAGGGGTGATGTGAAGCAGTTCAACAAGTTTCACGGTATCTTGCAGGGGCACCACGATGCCATGGGTTCGTACTTGCGTGCTACTTGTTCATGCTGTATCGATTCCTCACATCAGGGCTTGATGTGCAGGAGCCTACCCTTGGATGCGGAACTGGACCAACCCTTTCGACCTGGAGGATGCCGACTACCTCACCGTACATGCTCTTTCTAAGCCACTCTTCATCTTTCATTCGGTCTCACCCGCCAGCTCCCTCGTCCGCCGTGTGCAGGTGCAAGGCGAGTACGAGCACTACTACATGGCCAAGCGTGCACTCGCCTTCTACAAGGACCTGCTCGGCACCTGCCCCTTCGAGGTACGCTGGGCCTTGTATGTGTCGTGTGTCGTGTGTCGTGTGTCGTGTGTCGTGTGTCGTGTGTCGTGTGTCGTGTGTCGTGTGTCGTGTGTCGTGTGTCGTGTGTCGTGTGTCGCGCTTCGTTACTGAGTAGTGTTGCGCTTCGTTACTTTCCCGCAGCCCTCGCGCTACGATATCCACTCGACCGAGATCTCTCGCGCGGGCATGAGCGCCAGCGCCTACAGCTTCGGTCTGTTTGAGAAGCGTGGCCAAGTCGGACCGACGGACTTTGACCCCTTCTTCATCGTGACCAACAACGCGACGACCGACAACGAGCTGCGTTTCTTCAAGACCTGCCCCAACTACATCAGTGGCGTCAAGAAGAACAAGAAAGGTGTGCGACGTCGCATGATTATTGTTTCATTGTCAAAGTGATAACTCGGCGCAACTAACCGTGGCATTCTGTTTTCCAGCCTCTGCCGAGAGTCAGTTCTACGCGAATAAGCAGCTGCCCGGTCTGGCCGACAAGCTCACCAAGAGGATCAACGTCGCCGGGTGGACACTCACCACCGACGACGTAACGTTGCCCGCTTTCTTTACCTTCTGGTTTGCCTAACTTGGTCCATGTTGGCTCACCTTACCCGTTGTCGCAGGTCAACACCCTGTGGACCCTGTGCGTCTTCCAGCTCTCCGCCCAGGAGATATCAGGTGCGTGTGTCTTCACTCTAGGCGATCGCACACCGTCTCGATTGCGGAGCTGCTTCTCTGACCTCTCTCAACTCTTGATTTCGATGTGCCGAATTGTAGACCAGTTCTGCAGCTTCTTCGACAAGGACGATGTGGGCATCATGAACTACATCGACGATCTGTCGTCGTACTGGGTCAAGGGCTACGGCTATCCTATCAACTACGAAATCTCCTGCGTCCTCATGCAGAACTTTGTGGTACCTGGCTATCGTCGCCATTGTCGCTTTGCTGAAGCAGAAGCCAACTCTTTGCTTATTCATTCTTCACCCTCTTATTAGGACGCCATCACCCAAGTGACCAGCAACCCCGTGGACACGCATTCGCTGCGGGCCACCCTGCGTTTCGCTCACGCCGAGACCGTAATGCCTTTCCTAAGGTACTTCGTCACACAACTATTTGAGTTCTGATAGCGATGCTCACCACTGCCCTTCTTCTTTTATTTGGCGATACCACCAGTCTGCTGGGCCTGTTCAACGACAGCGTTCCCCTCCGAGCCACCAACACCCAGGAGCAGATTGACAACCGCCTCTGGCGCCAGAGCATTATTTCGACCTTTGCTGCCAACGTGGCCCTGGTCACTTACAACTGCTCCAAGCCCAGCGTACGTCGACTTTGCATTGTTGGGTTTTGAAAGTCGTTTCGGCTCACACGACACGCACACACAGGGTCCCGCTGATTTCCGTGTGAAGCTGTTCCACAGCGAGAAGGAGTACCAGATCCCCCAATGCGACAACAAGCTCTACTGTCCGTTTGAGAAGGTGCGTGTTGCGCTTGTTCCGTTCCAGCCCCGCACGTGCGTGCTGTGTGTTCACGACTGATCGAAAACCAACCAACTCACGTAACTAACAGTTCAAGGAGATCTACGCCCGTTCGCTGACCTGCGACTTCAACAAGCTGTGCGGCATCGAGGGCTGTCCCGCAAACAGCGACGCCGACGACCCGACCAAGCTCCTGAGCCACAAGACTGTGATCATCCTCGTCGTGTGCGTCGGCGCCGGCGGAATCATCGTGGGCGCCCTGGCGCTTACCGCCGTACTCTGCGTCGTGCGATGCTTCCGGCGAAGGCACGAGGAGCAAGGTATTACATACAACCCATCATACTCCACACTCCTTCGCTCATCGTCTTCATCATTGTCTTGTTCAGGTTACGAACTTGCCGCGGACTCAGTCATCCTCTAAATATTGACGCCATAGCGGTCAGTTATTTATTTGTTCACGGAAGAATAAATAAATAATTATTTATTTATTACTTGGGGCTCACGAGAGGAAGGTGCGGACGATCTTGGCGATGGGCGAGCGGCAGATGGGACACTGGTCCAGCGCCCCTCCGCACTCCATGCAGCAGCACAGGTGACCTGTGCAGAAAGCCAGGTGCAGGTGGCGTAAGTGCTTTGCTGCTCATGCACGACACACAACGGCGCACACGCACACGCACGGGAGACGTACCGCAGTTGAGGAGGACGCTGTCGATGGGGTTGACGAAGCAGATCTTGCACGCCTTCTCGTCCTCGGGTTCGGCCTCGTCCATCTTCTCGCCGGCACCTCCAGCGGCAGCCGCCTCCGCAGCCGCCCTCTCCTTCTTGACCTCCCCGATCTCGGCGATCACCAGACCCACGCTGTTGTAGTCGCTCCTGCACCCGCACACGCGACACGACACGACACACACATACATGCGGGTGAGCCCGGGGTGTGCTAAGTCTGTTTGGAGAGCGTGGCGGGCAGGTCGGCTACATACCCTTTCTCGAAGAGTCGGTACATGCACTGGAGCACGAGGGCCTGCTCGAAGCCAGCGGTGACCAGATCGCCCAGCATCTTGTTCGACGGATTGAAGCCCGGGCCCTTGTTGTCCCTGTGAGTTGGTCGTGAGCACCGCACACGCACCACCGCACGCGCACGCGCACACGCACGGGTAGGAGATGGGTACCGCTGGACGAGTGCGGCGGCGGTCCTCTCGGTGGTCTTGTCGAGGTCGAGCTCGCCGCGTTCGGCCTTGGCGTAGAGGTCGCGCATGTCCTTCTTGCGCGCGTAGTCCCGCGGCTTCTTCCCTATGAGGCGCAGCAGAGAAGGATCCGTGAGCGCGAGCGCATGGCCAAGGAGGAGGGTCAAGGAGGAAAGAGAGGTCTGGCACGTACCGGAGCTGTTGGTGAGGTTAGGGTCGGCCTTCTCGAGCAGGAGGAACTCGACGACGCTGAAGTGTCCGTTGAGCGTCGCCAGGTGTAGGGCCGTCTCGCCCGCGCTCGACTGCAATAATGAAGAAAAGAAATAATTAATATAATTAATATAAGCACTTCAAAATAAAAATAGCATATATATAATGCTAATTCATTAATTATTTCTATATTAAAAATAAAATTTGGTACCTGGGTGTCGAGCTTGGCGCCGTGGTCGAAGAGGTGGAGGCAGATCTCGGTGTGGCCAAAGAGGGCGGCAGTCATGAGGGGCGTGCGGTTCAGCGGACCCACAGCGTTGACGTCCGCCCCGGCCTCCATGAGTCGCAGCATCTTGGCCATGTCGCCCTCCCGGCAGGCCGTGATTAGTTTGTCATCCAGCTCCCTCTTTTCCTTGATGGGTGCCTGCATACTCTTGGCAAAACAAAGTGCTCAACTGGCGTGTTGACGATTCCCTTGAGGGCAATGCCTTGGCTCTGCTTTTTCTTGTTGAGCTACATCGACCTCATCCTGCACAGAAAGGCCAAAGGAAAAACAGAAAAAAGAAGGAAAGGAATCAACTCACATTATTTATTTCGCGCCGAAAGCAGAACACGGCAGCGTAAGAGATTCGAAGATGGAGAGCTCGTTGGGTACGTGACGTGCGTCACAGATAAGCGCAATTAATAACAAATAAACAGATTCTTAGGAAGGCAGTGCTCTTCCCTTTTCTTGGCCTTGATTGCCTAAAATGAAGCGCACCCTTAAGGGGCCTGCTTGACATCTTAGATCGTAAATTGAGGCTTGGATGATGGAGGATAAGGCGTAAGTGAGGCATCATCTACGCGTTTATCAACTTCTACACCAGTGTAAAGACCTTTCTTCGTCTCGATTCTACGCATTTTATTCATTTTTCTATTTTATTATTTTACTCGCTTGTAAATCGGCGGAGGGTTGGGGGAGATGGAGGCCGTGCTGGTCTACAGCAAGTTCTTGCGCAAGAATGTGGGACAAGAGACCAAGATCTACATTATGACCGAGGAGGAGGCAGACGCCATGCTCGAGAAGATGCCCACCGGCGCCTGCCTCCTCCGCCTCGACGCCACCCTCGATTCGCCCAAGGCTCCGTACGTTCTCCATCGCCCTCTTCCCCTCTTCCCCTCCATTCCACGATCCAATGGCCTTGCACGACGCCTGACGTTCGCAACTACGACAGGCTGACGTGTTCATACAAATACTTCGGGTTGACGTTCCACCACCTGCTCGAGAACATCCAACTCACACTCAAGGAGCGCAAGCATAGCTTCTACTGCCATGCCAGCAACAAGAACGCCTTCCAGTACATTCGCAAGGTCTTCATGGAATTCCTGCCTCGGCTGCAGATGTTCATCGAGGAGTTCACCACCAACCAGAACTTTGTTGGTGCGTGCGCTTGAGCTCTCCGCTCCGTAGGCTCAGCAGCTACTAACAGCGCTGTGGGTTCAACAGAGATGGACCTCGACGCGTTGGCTGATCCCGAGCTGATGAACGAGCTCCAAAGCCGTCGATGCTTTATCTACCCCAGCGGAGACAAGATCATCATCAAGCGGAAGAACGAGGTGCCCCACTCAATTGGGCTTTCAGTTGATGCGTAAGCTGACATTGGTCCCTCATGACGCACTGGCCTCAGAGTAAAAACAAGCTCGAATGCATGCGGATAGGGATCGACTTCCTGAATGCTACGTTCATCACTCAGCGCGACGAGCCGTCTGCCCCCATCGTCGAGACCAACACCTTTGCAGCCGCCTTGCTCAGTGCGCATTTTCTTTCTGACACCGTAACCGGCGGAGGAAGCCAACTCATAGTGTGTGGACTCGGCGTGTATGTACATCACAGATTTCTTGGAGGTGGGGACCGACGATGAAGCGCTGGCGATCGAAGTGCTGCAGCGGCGAGAGGACATGCTCAAGGGCAACCACGACGACCACGATGACGACAGCATAATCGACGATATTGCGCCCACCTTTGCACTGGTATTCGTCACTGTTGGGCTCGAACACCATCTGGCCCTCTCATCTCATAATCGCAACTAACTCTCGCTACACAGGGGCAGAACAGGACGCCACGGTACTACGGCAGCAAGGACAAGGCTGACCTCATCAAGAGCCTGCAGAATTCTGTGTGCCAGGGCGGAGCGGAGGTATTCTTTCCCCAATCCTATGCTGTCAGCGCTTCAATCAGCCATGAACGATGCAACGAGACGCAAAGGTTGAGACATGGAAGTGCCAACACTACAAATACTCGTATCGATGTGCAGGATTCGTCTCCGCGGCGAGAACCGGAGCAAGTGGCCATGATCATACTCGATTCGGTACATTGCGATCATTCCTCTCCCTTCTGCGCAGCGCCAGCCGCCGGCTAAGAGCATTCGTGGTTCAGGTGAAAACGCTCAAGCGGACCGACGTAGTAGAGAAGATGGACTGGATTGACCGCCATATCTTCAGGTCCCTGATAGCGGTACGTGGCAACCAGGCCGCCGTCGCCAAACGGGATGATCGCTGACATGTTCTCTTTGTTGCGTTAGGGCATATACCGAAACGGAGCGCAGATGTCGGAGAAGGACAACGAAAACGAAAAGGAGAAGGAGAGCGAGTGTTTCATCAACATCATCAAGTTCCTCATCCTCGGCAACCAAGAGGGGAGCGTGGAGTTCTGCTCCCTGCTCTTCACGCACCTGTCCACGCCCGGTTCATGCGGAGACAAGCTGGGCGCCATATCGGCGCTCTCCACGCTAATCCGTGTGGAGCCTTTTCGCACAGTACGCCTCCCTCTCTACCGTGACGTGGACACACGGTACCACGGCGCACTAACCTGTGCCATAAAAATATCAACAGCTGTTCATTCAGTACGGTGGCGGTAGCATCTTGTTGGACCTCTACTTCAAGGCGTCCTACGAGCTGCATGGCGATCAGGCCACTCGAGGACTGGGCAAGGTACCGCCCCCTCCCCTCATAGATGGTGGGCAAGCAAGCTTTGCGGTCTCTGACCTGCTTCGCACGGCCCGTCAGATATTCAACAAAGTGGTCCGATCGGTTGGCGGCGCCACACCCCGATCCGGTCGCATCGATTCAGAGGACAAATTCTCTCCCGCGTCGCCTGTGGTAGCCAAGAAGCCGGGCATTCTGAAGCAGCTCCGGTCCGCCTCGTCACTGGTGCGTTGCCGCTGCGACACGCGCTAGGGCTGCTTCTCTTGGTGCTTAGTCCTGATGGTCTATTTGTCTGCGCGAACGTACGACAGAGCGACGAGGGCGGGGGTAGCGGCAAGGACGCGGATTGGCGAAACACGATCAGCTTTCCCAAGAGGCCCAGCCGCGACTCCGTCGTTCCGGGCAGCCCGGGCCGCAGCTCGCTCACCCGTACCGAAGTGCGTCCACCGAGCTCTCTTGTGCTGTGCATTCCCCCCAATGCTTGCTAATCAGATCTCTGCGGGCTATGCAGGGAGAACGTGTGGCGGGCGAGCCCAGGCGTCGGGCCTTCTCGGGCAACCGCGCGACGATGGCCTTCCCCAACCCGACATCGTCCAGCCCGCAGGGAAGCAAGATCGACGAGCGACCAGCGCCACTGGACCTCAAGTCGCGGCCGCGTATGCTGGTCAAGGGGGACCGCGTCTCGTCCAGCCCGTCCATGTCCAACGCACCGCCACAGGCGTCTTCCCCGCCGCCGGCTTCGCAACCGCCCGCCGCCGCCGCCACAACATCGGCCGCCAACAAACGGTGCCTTGTCTCCCCGTCAACGTGTTCAAGAGCGATTAACGCTCCGCTGCTGACACTCGTGCGCTCGATCTCTCTCAGGCGGACGATGCAAATCGTCGGCGGTAATCTTATCGATTGGAAAAACACGCCCGAACCGACCACCCAAGCGCCGCTCAGTGCCAAAAGGTAAAAGCGCGCTCTTTGCTACCTAAGGTTTAAGGTATTGATTGCTTGCTCACACTCTACGATTCTAGTCCCAGCAGCAGCGGCGGGGCGGCCAAGAAAGTACCGCAGCTTAAGCTGCCGGGCAAGAACGACCGACAGTCGAGCATGTTGCGCAGCCGCTCCTCCCGCCGCATATCCAAGTACGTCGGGTCGATGGCCATGGGGTCGGCCCGCGAATCTCGATCGGAGATCGACTCGCTCGGCCCGGCCTACTCTGTCAACTCGGCGCGAGGCCTGCAATCGGGCGACGAGGGTACGAGTGTGGTTGACCCCAAACGCCCACCGGCGGCCATTTCTAACGACCGCCCCAAACCCACTTACGCAGAGGAAGCACCACAGTCGGGCATGGAGGAAATGAGGAGTCTGGCGAACAAGCTCGGCGAAGCCTGTACGCTCTATCGAATCCCAGACTGTAACGTGCGCCGCTTCTGCGTGGGAATCCTAACGATGCGTGGTTGTGATTGACCAGTCCTTGCGGCCGATTTGACCGCTCTGACGGCGTACAAGGAGAACGACACGGGCTTCATGACGGCGAGGAAGAAGGCCAGCGCACAGCTCGACTCTACCGAGGCACGTTTCCTCCTTGGGTCCTGGTCGAATCGTTCGTACCCCGCCCTCTCTATACTCATCAACTCGCACTCTCGCCCAACGCAGAAGGAGAGAAAGGAGTTGGCTGAGCTCACCGCCCAATTGCAAGAGCTAAAGTCGCTTGCGTGCTACAAGGTCAAGGTATGCGAGTCTACTCTCGTATCTCTCACTTCGAGCTCACACGGTGTGCTTACTAATGCGCGTGATATGGTGGTTAAAAGGTTCGCATTCTCCACGTGCTGGCGACTCTCTCCACCAACCGGGCCTTCCGCGAGCAAGCGCGGAACCCATGCAACGTGCTTCTCTCGGAGCTGGTCTTATGCCACAAGGTACGGGGTTGCCGCCTACTCAGGGTTGAGGTCACGCTTGTCAGCTCACACGCGCGCTTTTTGGCCTGCACGCCCAGATCGACTATCTGCGACTGGACGAGGACTACCGCAAGAAGATCTACCGCGTGCTCCACTCGTACGCCGAGGAGGTCGAGTACACGCATCGCCGCACCTGGCGGATCCAGACCAAGGGTACGCGCCAGCCCCACGGCCCGGAACTTCAATGGCGCGGCTGATTCACGCTTCATTCGTGGCCAGGCATGCGGGATGCCGAGAAGTGCAGCTTCCGGCTTCGGCTGGACCCCATCATCTTCCGTCTCGACAAGCGGCTCTACGACGCAATGGAGAGCCAGTGCGTTTTGAGATCTTCTCCCTCTTGTTCTCTCCACTGAGTGCTCTTTCCCTCTGTCTTGCTGATCGCAACCAACGCGTGCGTGCCGGCACCAACCCCAGAAAATTCCACAACATGGAGCTCTACCTCTCGGTGCTCTCGGAGTATATGGTCAACTGCCCCACTCGCGTCATGTCTTCTCAGGTGATCGAAGTGTGCCTCGAGACCCTCCTGCGGCTCAAGGTGCGCCAGTCTCTCTCGCCCGCCCGTGTCACTCTCTTTGTTGGCGTTCTGAACCTGAACCGTTGATGGTGTGCGCAGAGCGTGGTGACGTCTCGCGGGATCTCGCCGGACAGGCCCAAGGCGATACAGACCTTCCATCGCCTGCTCGTGGTATTCGACGAGTTGGCCAACCAGAACAAGCACGCCGACACCAACGACCTGTTATTCGACCTCTTGTTCGAAGCTTGCGTACGTTGTCGGCAGTGCCTCGCTATGTCAAACCACTCACTCTTGACCACGCCACAGTCCGAGACGTTCGCCTTCATCCGGCGATATGCCATCGAGATCATGCTGAACAAGAAGCTGGAGGCCAAGATTACCAACGATCGCAACGGCGGCCAGGCCCTGCTGGACGAATACCGCGTCCGCGTCGTCAAGCACTACAGCGTACGTTGTCCCTTTTCTACTGATTTTTTTGTTTTTGTTTGTTTTTAATTTGCTTTTGTTTGGCTGAACCAAACGTTGCACAACGTACAGACCTGTTATGACATGATCTACGCCAAATTCGAGAACTTGGAGGAGACCCACATGCATTCGCAAGGCTCTCAGGCCGGCGGGGCGGCCGGTCATTTCGACCGCATTGTGGACAAGAACAGGGAGGGCATGATCCGCAAGATGGAGTCGCTCGTTCAACCGGTACGCCGCGCGACAAATCGTAATCGGCAATGTTCGATGGCATCGCTGCTCGGCTAACACACACAACACACAACACACAACACACACCCCCCCGATCAGAGAGGCGGTGGGTTCCTCCTCAATTTCCTCGAGGCCGGGCCAATGCACCACAACGCTGCGGTGAAGATAGAGATCCTGACCTTCCTCCAGCGGCTCTTCTCGGACAGACAGGCCACCTTCGTCAGACGCAACCGCTACATCGACACCTACATACCGTACGCTCGACTAGGCTGTGCTGAGTTGATCGCAGAACAACATCGGCTGATAATCTTATCATCATCATCATCGTTATCACTCCAGGTTGCACTACATCAGCTTCATCAAGCTCTACAACAGCCCCTCGGTCGACAGCGTCACCCTCACGCTATGCACGTTGCACCTCCAGAATCTCCTGTGCTTTGCTCAGGTAACTTGTCACATCGCCTCCCTCTCCTCCCCGGCGCAGACTGTCTCGCTCACCGGTGCCTGTGTCGTATCGCACCAAATGTATTGTGCAGCACAAAAACGAGAAGACGATCCAGAAGTTCTACCAAATGCGAATCATGGATTTCCTGGTGCGGAAGATCACGCTCGAGTACGAGATCAACTTCAACCGCGAGATGCAGAAGCAGGACCCGAACGCCGCGGCCGGCGGTTACGACAGCGGCAACGACTCCAGCAACAACAGCGAGAACGACGACACCAAGGCTACGGCGGATAACAACCGCTTCACCACCGCACAAGCCAGGACCACTGTTGCCAGGGTTCGCCACACCCCACTCCATTTCCATTGTTATGCTGGCTCACAGTTCATCGCACGCACACGACACACGACACACGACACATGACACACGACACACGCACCACTGAACACACGCACCACTGTTCCCACGCACGCACACGCACATCACACGCCACGCACACGCACACGCACACGCACGCACACCCACCAATGCAGGGACCGAAGAGGCGGCTTACGATAGGCTCGCGTACGCTGAGTCAGGGCAATGGGGTCCATCCGTTAGCCACGTCCCTCGGCCCGGCCACGCGTCGCCCGTCGAAGCGGCAAATGAAGAAGAAGGGCAAGGGCAAGGGGGGCGACAACGACGAGGCAAGTACCAGTAAAGCCGACAAGAAGAAGCCGGGAAAGGGCAAGAGCAAGAAGAGGGACGATGAGAGCGACGGCAACAGTAGGAACAAGGCTGCCGGATCGCCACGGTCGGGGACCGACCCCTCCTCATTCCCTACGGCCGCCGCCGCCACGCTGTCGCTCTCGCAGGACCTGTGGCTCGACAGCGGAAGCGTGACGGAGCCGGTCGCCGGCAGCCGCAAGGGCAACGGCGACAGCGAAAGCGAAAGCGACCGTGATAGCGACAGCAGCGAGGAGGAGAAGGCAGCCAAGCGACCGCCCAAGCTGCTCATCCCCATGCGGAGCCTCAAGGGTGGCGCGTTCATCGACGTGCGGGACAAGATGAAGGCCAGCATCGAGGCGGAGCGGGTCGCCAAGCAGACCAAGTCCAGCGAGTCCGAAGAGGAGACGGACGAAGATGAAGACAGCGATGATGACAGCAGCGAGGAGGAGAAGACGGCCAAGCGGCCGCCCAAGCTCCTGCTGCCGGCCGCGAGCCTCAAGGGCGGGGCGTTCAACGACGTGCGGGACAAGATGAAGGCCAGCGTCGAGGTGGAGAAGAAGAAACAACAGCAAAGTCGATCGGAAGAGGATTCCGAAGAGAGTAGCAACGATGACGACAGCGATGACGACAGCAGCGAGGAGGAGAAGGCAGCCAAGCGGCCGCCCAAGCTGCTCATCCCCATGCGGAGCCTCAAGGGCGGCGCGTTCATCGACGTGCGGGACAAGATGAAAGCCAGCATCGAGTCGGAGAGGACCGCCAAGCAGACCAAGTCCAGCGAGTCCGAAGAGGAGACGGACGAAGATGAAGAAAGCGACGACGACAGCAGCGAGGAGGAGAAGCAGCCGCCCAGGCTCCTGCTGCCGATGAGCAGCATCAAGGGCGGTGTCACGTCCGACGCGGGGGACAAGATGAAGGCCAGCGTCGAGGTGGAGAAGAAAAAGAAGAAGCTTAGCGATTCAGATGATGAGGAGGAGGAGGAGACGGATGACAGCGACGACAGCAGCGAAGAAGAGAAGAAGGTGAAGAAGCCCGCGGCGCTGCTGCTGCCCGCCAGCATTCTCAAGGGCAGCGGAGGGGTGCCGAGCGACAAAGCCAAGTCGAGCGAGAGTGTCAGCGAGAAGCCGAGCGAGAGTGAGAGTGAGAGTGAGAGTGACGAGACGGACAGCGAAGAGGAGAGGAGGAGGAACAAAAAGAAGCTGCCCTTCCTGAGCATCCCACCCGGCCTGATGAAGGGCGGCCCTCTGGGCGCCTCGCAGCCGGCCAAATCGCCCTCGTCGCTCGGACCAAAGAACGAAGACGACGGCGCAAGCGCGAGCGACAACGAAAGCGACGACAGCTCGTCCGACGACAGCGTTGACAACAAACCGAAGCGGCTGGGGCTGGCGCTCTCACTTCCCTCTGGCATCTGCAAGGGTGGACTGCCGCCGCCCCCGAAGCAGGGCAGCCACGGCGGCGAAGACGAGGACTCGTCGTCGTCGAGCGACAGCGACGACAGCGATCGGCGACCGAAGAAGCGACCGCTGGGCCTGTCACTCCCGTCCAACATCCTCAAGAGCGGCGTGCCCATCGCCGCCAAGTCGCCGCGGGACCAGGAAGCCAACGGCTCCACCAGCGACCCGACGAAGAACGAAGACGTGGAGCCGGCCGTTGCGGCAACAGGGGCCACCGAGACAAGCGCGGAGCCAGAAGCCGCCGAGGAGAAGAAACCGGAAAACTTGAGCATTGGAGATCACCGCGACTATGCGCCGCCGCACCACGAAGACCTCCCTTCGCTCAGGTTGTCCGAGTTGTCGAACGGCAAGGGCAGCAACGACATCAAGTCGGTGAGCAACAGCCTCTTCATGATGGCCCCGCCCTCGCCGTCTATGGCCTCAACGGCCGCGGCGTCGGTGGCCTTAGGCTCGGGCGGTTCGACCTCCTCGATTCCGGCGGCCTCTGCCGCGGCGTCGGCCACCGCTGCAGCCGCCATCGCCTCTGTCAGCTCGGCGCGCAACCCGCACTCGGACAAGATGAAGACGGCCCTCTCCATGCGACTCCTCACCGGCGCCGCCAACCGGCTGGGCTTCGACCCCATGCGCAGCAAGGGCGGGTCGTGCATCGCCATCGGCAGCAACGGTTCCAAGCGACCAGTGTCCATGTCTCTGCAGAAGCTCCCGCAGCACTTCTTCGACCAGAAAGAAGAGAGGCACGTGACGAACCCCTTGCCTAAGGACCATAAATGTGCTGACTGTATCGTGTCGTGTCGTGTCGTGTCGTGTGCGTGCAGCGTCGCGAGCGAATCGAGTGATAGCAGCGAGGAGGAGGACGTGCCAGCGCGCAAGCAGTCCTTCGTGCCCGCGCTCAACCTCACGGATGTAAAGAAGAAGGGTGATAACGAAGCCGGCGGCGGCAAAGAGAAAAAGGGCCTACTGGGTACGTACTCTTCCCACCCTCTGTCACGCATTTGTTTCACTTGAGCTCACCTGAACCGAAACGTCGCAGGCGCGCTGCTCATGAAAACGAGTGGCAGCAAGCTGGGTGTGCGCATGGGCATGGGGCGAGGCTCGCCCCGCCATTCGGGAATCGCCTCCCACGCCGACAACACCGTCGCCGCCTCCAGCAAGCCGCCGGCGGATGAGGCCAGCAACGGCAACGAAACCGTACGGATTGCCGGCACTGCTCTCTCAAGCGAACGGTTGATTGGTCGGTCTCGGAAAGAAGCTAATATGGCCCATACATGAGCGTGCAGGCCGCAAAAAAGCAGGCGGAGGACCTGGCGTTTTCGGACGAGAGCTTGGGCTACTACGAGGTGGACCAGGCGTTCGGGTTCCTGTCGAACCTGGAGCGGCAGATGAATCCGGACGACCCCAAGCTGCAGCTCCTACTCGGCAACCCTTACTCATCGCACGAGGAAGACGATAAGGTACTCAAAAACCACTCGAGCACCACCGCACATGTACATGATTGCCTCTAATATACTGATGCGCCGGAAACATGTTGTTTTTCTATAGAATCAACGCCAGAACACATTGTCGCCCGATGATATTATCATGGAGCGGCGTTTGTACGAGCGAGAGCGGGAGGACCGCAAGATCTACCGCTCCAAGGACCTCCAGATGTCCATTCTGCAGCTCATCTTTTCCTTGATGCTCGCTCCCAAGTATGTCCGCCTCACGTGCTCGCACATTGCATGTGCGTGTGCAGAGCTAATTGAGCTTTTCCGCCAGCAATACGTTGGAGCCGCTTTACAACGATCAGTTCCCGGTGAACAACAAGAAGCTCAACATCCCGTTCTACCTCACGCTGCGTACGTCCGGAAGCTTCGTCTCTTACGACCCTTTGACGTCTTTTAGATGATGTACTCATCGTCTTCTTTCTTCGCTTCTCTTTCGTTCTTTCTTCTTTCTTTCGTTCGCTTCGCTTGCGTAGATCTCAATCACGAGGTCAACGCCGGCATCATCCCCGAGCTGGTGGAGCGCACCCTGAAGATGGGCGCCTCCAACTATCGCTTGCTCAAGCTCCTATGCCGTCGCCTCTTCGACGCCAGCACCTACAAGAACCTCATCCGTATCGGCAGCGGCGCCTACGGCCAGGTCTACCGCGCCTCCCTCGAGAGCGAGAAGGTATGATAGAGCGCACTTGACTTTTTCTTTTGGTATGCGAACAATTCGAATCTTAATTGCAATCTGTTATTAGATGGAGGTGGCGGTGAAGCGGATGACGGTTCCCAAGTCGATGCATGATCGGTGCGTGCTGCACGATATCTTCACCGAGATCATGGTGATGGACAAGTTCAAGAACGACCCCAAGATCGTGCACCTGTACGACTACGGCGTGGACGAGGAGAACTTCTGGATCATCATGCGCCTCTACAAGGATTCGCTCAAGGGCTGGCTCAAGCGGCAGCGTACGCCCTGGTTCGAGAATCTGCCTCTCTACCTCAACATATACGAGAAGGTCCTGGAAACCATGCTCTTCCTCACCCAGAACCGTACGTCCTTTATCGTGTGTGTGTGTGTGTGTGTGTGTGTGTGTGTGTGTGTGTGTGTGTGTGTGTGTGTCGTATGTGTTCTTGTGCGCGTGCGGCGGTGCGTGCGACTGATGTTCACCGCTGGCCTTACCCCCCCCCAGATGTCAATCACTATGACCTTAAGTGCGACAACTTTCTGTGTCACCCGCTCAACCCCGACACGACGGACGAGGATTTCTACGACCAGCCCTCCGACGTGCCCAACTTCTTCATCGTCCTTGCCGGTATGACCGCAGTTCACACGCTCCACATTGCTCGCATTCCACAAGCAGAACAGGTCCTGACCGTAGACGGTCACCCTCCCTCGTCTTTCAAATCAGATTTTGGCGAGGCCAAGTACTACACCTCTGAGGAAGAGGGCTTCACCACACGCAACCGGTACGCGCATGAGTGCCTGTCGACTGACTCGTGCCGAACCGCCCTGTGTGCTGATGGATGATTTACGCTGCGCGCGCGTGCGTAGGGGTACCGAGTTCATCAAGTCGCCGGAGATGCTGGTGGTGGCCAACGCCCTGCAGAAGCAGAAGGACTCCTACGACCGACGCAAGAAGGTGGGGGCCAACAGCGCGTCGGACATCTGGTCGCTGGGCTGCCTGCTCTTCGAATTGATCACAGGTACGACACGACGCAATGCACACCTCGAGGTGTGGTCACTACACGGCACGCACTTACATGCGACTGCAACAGGCCAATTCTTGTTCTACGACAACGATTGGGTGCGATTCTTCATTCGAGTCACGTCGCCCGGTCAGGAGCTTATCAACGCCGAGAAGAAGGCCATGATCAACAACAACTCGGTGCTGCTGGATCTGCTGGAGTTCATCTTGTTCCGCAACCCCAACATGCGTCCCACCATCAACGACGTCATCAATCGCTTCCAGATGGTCAAGAACGTGCTCGTGTCTGGCGTTAAGAAGACCCACGCCACGTACGTCGCCCATTTTCAACGCATTGTTTCGCCCCCCAAGAACTGACACTAATCGACTGCACTCTCTCTTTCGCATCATAAGTGCGCTGATGGAGAGGATGGACATGAAGGGCAGGCGGAGCAAGACCTTCGTGAAGCAGCTCTACGATTCGCTTTCCGATCACAACAACGGTGCGCAATTCTATTCGGGCTTGCCATTGGAATCCAAAGGCGGTGGACGCGTTCCAACACCTATGGTCGGCGCGCTTGTGCAGATGGGTCGCCAGCGACCTCGCCCCACAGCATCCCGCGCGCCAACAAGACCGTGGAGAAGGTCGAGGACCAACACAAGCCTGTACAGAACATCCTCTCTCCGTACGTCCTCGCTGTGCCCCTCATTTTTGCTTTCTTGATTTATGGTTTATTTCATTTTTTTATCAATTTATTATCGATAATTTAAATAATTGTATATATATTATGTATTCTGTTGTACTACCAGGGAGGAGACGGCCTACTTCGTGGAGCACGCGAGCAAGATCACGGAGAACATTTACATAGGGACGAGCAGCGCGGTGCAACGCACCTATCTCAAGTGCCAGCTGGGGATCAGTCACGTGGTCAACTGCACGATAACGCCCAACCCGATGCTGCGGGACCACTTCGAGGTGCTCCACGCCAAGATGCAGGACGAGCCCTACCAGGACATCGTGCCCCAGATCCTGCGCGTGGTGGGCTTCATCCGCCGCGCGGTGATCCGCAAGGGCAAGGTCCTGGTCTACTCGGACCGGGGCGTGTCGCGCTCGGCGGCCATGGTGCTGGCCTTCCTGATGGACACCCGCGACATCAGCTACTTCGAGGCCTGCATCCTGGTCAAGGAGCGACGCTACGTCATCCAGCCCAACCGCGGGTTCGTGCGGCAGCTGGCCCGATGGGGCGAAAACCGCAAGGCCCTCCGCAATCTCACCAAGGTAACATGACCTGACCCTGCGACCTTTGAGTGCGTGTGCGCGTGTGCGCTACGTGTGTGTGTGTGTTTTAGGGTTTCTGAATTCTCATTTGTTTGTTTTGTTTCCTGCGGCACAGATGGGCAAGCAGCAGTTCCAATGTCTGTGCGGCTCGTCGATCATCGCCCTGCTCTCCGATGCGGAAGAGAGCGGCGACGGCACGTCGGGCGATGCCAGCCTCGTCAAGCTCGGCTGCGACTGCAAGGTAACCTTTTTTTTTATATATAACACATCACAGCACACATCACCGCACACGAACATGCACACGCTGACCAATGTTTATGCTTTGCAGCCGACGAAGGAGACGAGCAAGTGCCCCAACGTCGGCTCGTGTTCGGCTTTCCTCGAGGCGATGAAGGCCAAGCACGAGTACCGGGCCGGGAAGATCAACTGGGGCTTCACCACCATGGCCAACGTGCTGGGCGACTTTGACCACACCACCGCCGAGTACGTCCCGCGCCTCCTGCGCCACAGCAAGTCCAACACCATCAACGTCAACGGCAGCGGCAACAACGCCATCAACAAGAGCGCAAAGTGGCGGCTCTACAAGTGTCGCACATGCGGCTTCCTCACCCACGCCGTGCGATCTATGGACGCGGGCGCCGGCCCGAGCGGATCCCTGTCCGCCTCACAATCGGGAGTGACGTCGTCGCCCGCCGGCCCGTCTTCGTCGCGGCCCGATGCCCAGGTGGCCATCGTCATGAACCTGCCCGTGAACAGCTTCACGACCGACTACACCGGCTCCGGCCTTGGTCGCGCCGCCGCTCACTTCTGCTGACTGACCACGCAAGAGTGTGTTACACTTTTAGCGACATGCGATATTTTGTTTTGTGATGCTTTTCGTTTTATATTGGTGACGTCAGCATGGGGGTACCCTTTTTCTTCGAAATCTAGAAAGGAAAAAGAAAACAAAACGGAAGGCAAGGAAAAAGAAAACAAAAACAACAGCGGTTGGATGAGCGGACGAGGGGCAGCTGCTGCGGTCAAGTGCTTTGTGGCAGACCTTGTGGGCGGCAGCGGGTCGCGACCGCCCTCCCAGCAGCTTTCGCTGGACGAGCCCGAGCGAGTCTGGGTTCAGGTACCCCCATCATACACAAATAATTACATACTTAATTTATATAATTCAAACATAAAATAAAATAAACGGTTTGTTCGCAGGGCGTGGCGGTGGCCTCCGGTGGGCTGAGCGGCGGTGCCTCGGAGGTGCGAGGCTTCGTGCTGGACGATGGCACGGGTCTACTCCCCATCGATGCCCGCAAGCTGCCACCACTAGCCCCTTCTTCCTCCTTACCTTCATCGACGCCGTCCTCCATGCCTTGCCCCTTGGGTACGTGCATGATGCGTGCATACGCGTGTGTTGCGTGTTGCGCGTGTCGGTGTCGTGTCGCGTGTCGTGTGCGTGTCGTGCATTTTATTGATGATGTTACCTCGAATGTGTGGCTGGACAGGTGCCTATGTGATGGTGATCGGCAGCGTGGGCCGGCGAGAAGACGGCGCCCGGGTCGTGGTGGCTGCCAAGCTGGTCGACCTCTCGCCCGATCCCAACCGCGAGTCCATGTGGTACCTCGAGGTCCTCGATTGCGCCCAACACCTCGCACGACAGCAGTAGCAATTTCTATATTTGTTAATAAAATAAATAAATAAATATTAAATGATGTAAAGAAAGTAGAAGACCAGACACTAGTCGGCCTTGGTGGTCTTCGTCGCGACGACGCCAGCGGTCGGCGGGCTCGCCAGTGTGCGATACAGCTCGAGCGCGGCGACGGGGATGACCCAGCTCATCCAGATCATGGCCACCCAGCCCGGGTAGATGTCGGCAGACACGCGCGCCACCCAGACCAGATAGGTGTTGGCCAGGACGCGGAAGAACACGCTGGCGCCCCACAGCGCGGCCACGCTGCGCGACATCCACAGGCCGTGGGCCGCGCGGTCCCGCCGCACGAGGGCGCACCACAGGGCGAGCCAGGCCGGCACGACCCCGGCCAGCGCCAGGCCGGTGAAGGCCACTGAGGCCCCGACACCGCCGTCCGACCCGTAGCCCTGCAGCCAGGCGTAGGTGACCCCCGCGGCCGCGCCCAGGGTCAAGCAGGCCAAGTAGAGCCAACCGAGTACCGTGTGTCTTCGTCGGGAATTAAAAGTAGTTGAGGTGGTGGCGGCGGTGGTTGAGGTCTGGGCCAGGGCGAGGAAGAGGGCGGCGGCGGAGAGGTAGATGTGGGCGTAGATGAGGCCAGGGTGGCGGCGGAAGGGTTCGCGGGGCTGCGGGTGCGGGTAGAGGCGGTCGACGATGATGAAGCCCGAGTCGATGCCGAACAGGAAGAGGTAGAGCTGGGGCAGAAAGAGGAGGAGGGCGGGCAGGGTGGCGAAAGCGTGGAAGCCCAGCATGTCGAGCATAAACTGCTAAAAAAAATGAAACATGAACATCAAAAAGAAAATACAAAGAAATGTAATTTTATGTGGTGACTTCCACCGAACCGGGACAACGCACTAGCCAAAGAGGACTTCGTTGCACTCAGCCTGCAGCGCGCGGAAGGCCTCCTCGCTCAGGTCCCAAACGTTGGTCTGGTGGCTGTAGTGGCTCACGATGCGCATGCCGTGTGCCTCCTCCAGCACCTCACGGCACAGTCCCTTCAGCTCGTTCGTCGGTTCTCTTGGCTTTGGCGGGGGCGGACACGAGGGTGCCGGGCTGGCGTGCGCCTGAGCCTGAGCAAGCCGATGCTGCGCCTGGGCCAGCTCGCGCTTCAGTCGGCTCACCTCATCGCTCTGCGGCTGAGGATTCGACTTGGGTGTGTTTGTGGCCTCCCGTAGGAGCTGGTTCAGGGACAGCTGTTGGGTCTCGACGGCAGTGAGGAGAGTCGCGTTCTGCCAGGCGAGCCCGGCGCTGAGTACCACTACGAGCGAGGCCAGGAGGAGAGTGTTCATAGTGTTTGTTGGGGTGAAGACTTTTGTTGTTTCGGGACTCCCGTTTGGCTCCCGTTGTCAGGTGGTAGGTCTGGTTGTTGGTGGCTCTGACACAGAACCCAAAAGGGGGGGTACGAACTTGATTGGCTGTCGACAGAAACAAGCCAACTAAAGAGCGACATTGCTTGTAACGGGTTGTACCCGGCAACCAATTCGAAACGAGCATACCTGCCCATTGGATGTTACGGACCAATAGTCTCTACCACGTTAGTTCGGTGGACCAGATATGTCATTGGGCAAAAAGACCCGGTTCGGGCGAAGCCATGGAGTCGTTCCTCTGCTCGCACACTCCCTCCTTTCTCCACCTCAACTCTCCAACACACGAGCGTTCGAATGAGTAGCCACCAAGCGCAGACGACGACGAACAACGGGCGCTCCATCAAGAAGGAGCCCCAACCTCTCCCATCATGTGATTGTTGAGGTATCACGCAGTTGATGGAAAGATAAGAGAGCTCAGAAGAGCCTCTTTGATTTATTATCTAACGTGTACGTGTCACATATATGGTAACTACCTAATAAAGATATAACGGAATACCAGAGTCATGTGCAAGTGTAGTTGACACTACACAACAGTGATGACCTCGACACCAGTAGCCAGGCGCTCCTGAAGACAGTGGTGGATCGTGCCAAGGATGAGTTCGTCGAGAAGGGCAGCGAGTGGCTGCGCAAATCCTCGTTCCTCACCGCGCTCCTCCTTCTCGGCTTTCTTGGGCTCCTCTACGCCATCGTGTTCCACCACCATCTGATCCAAATTCACATCCACCCGGCCGGCTGGCGCGAGGGGGAGAAGGCCAAGGCCAAGTTGGTGCTGGACGACAGCTGCGACAGGGCCAAGTCGGTCCTGGCCAAGGACCAGGCCTTTCTGGTCAACATAGCGCCCTTTGTGGGCGATGCGTGCCAGGTCTACAACCAAGCGAAGGCGTACGGGTGGGTGGCCAAGGTCGCGACCCACTCGCCACCCCAACCTTCGGCGGACCAGGAGGACAAGAGGAAGAACGGTCACCAGGAAGGCGACCTCGAGCAGGTCAAAGACGCGCTGAGCACCCTCTGCAAGCTGATGCTCAAGGAGGTCAGCAAGAAGCAGGTCGGTGCGGAAGACTCGACCTCGACGCTCTGGGACGACACCTTCAAGAAGTTGCAGTCCACAGCCGTTCTTGCAGCCTGAACGAAATGCCATTTTGTAAAAGAAAAAGACACATTTCTTTTTTCTCTTCAATCGATCGAGCTTTGCCCATGGCCACTCGCGACAGGAGGGATTGGTATGGCAGTGACAATAGTTGTGACACTGCATTTGCCATTTATTTATTTGCTCATTGACAATGGATTAAGCCTCGATTTATTTATTTATTTAAAAAACAAAATGGGCCACAGGGTCGATGCACGCTCTGCCCCAAATAAATCGGTAAATCAGCAGTGGGGACTGCACAGAGAGGCATCTGTTGAGGTGCGCAGCTCATCAACGGCCAACACGCATGACTTCGTGCCACTGGCCAGCGCGCTCGCCCCTCACAATGTACGCCGCACTCTCCGCCGCCACCAACTGGTGTGCTTCTACGTTGTACGCGGCTGACTCGGGGGGGGGGGAATGCAGGAGATGAACTACGCCGCGTGGGCGGTGTCGGGCGTGAAAGACGGCAACAGCACGGCCACGGTGTCGGTCGTCGACCTGCAGAGCTTCAACGTGCGCGCCCGTGTCCCCCCCCCGATCACGTTCCCTTCTGTTGTGCGCACTCACTCGCACACGCACGACCGCACACACGGCACACGGCACACTGCACAGGTGATACGCACGTTGGCGTTCGAGGGTCCTCTCTGGGACATCGCCTGGCGCGACACCTTCCTGATCTGCGCCTCTTCACAAGTACAAGCATGCCGCTCGAGACCTGAGGCTGCTGCGAAACTCACCTGTGTGTGTGTTTGTGTTCTTCGCCCACGCAGGGCAAGATCACCATGACCATTCTGGGCACCGAGAACGCATTGCCCCCGCAGGAGCTCACTTGCCCGAGCGTCAACGTAACGATCCATTTCTTTTGTCACGCACACACACACACGGCACACGGCACACGGCACACGACCACGGCACACGACACAACGCGGGTCCATTCATTACACGCGTGTTTATAAACACGACAGGATGAGGAGTTGGACCTGGTGGAGCTGGCGGAGGGCCGAGTGTGGGTGGGCGATGAGGCGACGCGGGTCCGACGCGTCGCGCTGCACCCGCGGCTGGCCACCACCTCCACCCTCCTCAGCGCGCAGTGCTCCGCGGTGCAGATCTGGGACATCGCCAACTCGGACGCGCCCCTCCTCGCCAAGCGGGTCTCGTGCCCCGCCATTTATAACATATTATTATTATTATTATTGTTCATTTGTTATTTGTTAGTATTTGTTATTAATTTCTGAATATTATTTATTATTGTATTGAATCACTGACGTGGGCCAGTAGGTGTCCAAAGATTTGGTGCTCTGCGCCGAGTGGGATCCGCACAACGACAAGATCTTTGGCGTGGCCGGTCAACGGTAGCCGCACGACACGACACACAACGCGACACACGGCACACGCAACACACACACACACACACACACACACACACACACAATGCCTGCTGAGAAGAGCTGAGCTGAATTGTGTGCCTTGTAGGGGTACCATGAAGCTGCTCGACGCACGAGATGGGTCCTCAGAATACTCGTGCGTGTGGGTCAAGAGGCAGGCCCATGCAGCGCCCATCCGCGCGATGAAATGGAACCCCTGCGTGCCCCACTGGATCGCCACCGGAGGTAACGCACACGACACGACACGACACACATGACACACGCACCACCGCACGTGCGGACACGACACGACACACGCACCACCGCACACGCACACACAGTACACGGCACGTGCTGACGCGAGAGTGGTTAGGTGAGGAGGGGCTGGTCAAGTTGTGGGACTTGCGGTACGGGGCGAGGCCCGTGTGCACGATCCACGGCCACACGGGGCCGGTCAATTCGGTTGACTGGAACGCGGCGCACCCGGACCTGCTGGTCTCGGGCGGGTCCGATCGGAGCCTCCGCGTGACCTCGCTCACCGCCGACAACCTGGCCGTCATCGGCTCCATGTCCTGCGGCACCCTCACAGACCAAATAACACAAGGTCAGTAGAGTCAACACACACGGCACACGGCACGACACACGACACACACGGCGCACGACACGCACGGCACACACAGGACAAGGACTGATGGAGAGGTGTGCAGTGGGCTGTTCGGGATTCAGTCGAGACCGGTGTGTGGCGGCCACGGCCAACGGCGTGATCCACACGGCCCGCTTTGGCCCGGGCTTCTTCGAACCCCTCACCCAACAGCTCTCCCGGTACGCGCTCAAATGACACACGACACGACACGCAACACGACACGACACGACACGCAACACGTCGCACAACATGACGCGAGGGCGAATGCTGCAGGTTTCCTGTGGAGGAGAGGACCAGCGACGAACGCAAGCTGGAGAGGCTCGTCTACGACCGCGAACTGGAGGCGGCGCTCAAGCTCGGCGTACAGCTCGTGGACAAGCACCACATGCTCAAGAAGTACGAAATGGCACACGACGCGACACACACGACGCACGACACAACACGACGCACGACACGACGCACGACACTCACGCGATTCCATTTTTTAGGTCCGAAGAGGACCTGCACGAGGTGATCCGCTTGTGTTCGCCGGTCTCGCCCTCGAGTTCCTCACAGTGGAGCGACACCCACACGCCCCCGCCATCCACCGCCTTCCAGGTATCCGCGCTCCCCTCAATCTTTTTTTTACACCCAATTCGTCCAAACCAACCCATCCTTGTGCGTGCGTGTGCGGTGGTGCGTGTGTCGTGTGCGGTGGTGCGTGTGCGTGTGCGGTTGTGCGTGTGCGGTGGTGCGTGAGTAGAAAGAGGCGTTGAAGCACGCGCGGAGGATACCGTACAACTACCCGCTGCCCAAGGAGTTCCCGGCCGGCATGCAGCGACGACTGAATCTGCTGCGACTCGGCATGCGCGTGTCCAAACTGGCCCGCAAGAAACAACACGCCAAGCTCATCGCCCTGCAAGAGTACCATTGCCACCGCACGCACACGACACGACACGACACTGACCTGTCCACGCCGACAGCACCATGTTGGAGGAGATGGACGCCAACTTCGACCTGTTCGATACGAGCGTGCTGCAGAACGTGGTCAACGTCATCTTCAGCAAGAACTTCGACCAAGGTCCACCACCACCATCGCTCACCCGGACTCAGTTGTCGTCGTCGTGTTCGTTTTCGTTGTTCACCGGTTTTCGTGCGTCGTGTGCGTACAGGGATCAACCTGGCGCTGGAGTTGGCCAAGCGATTCAACCGGGCCGACCGTTGGACGGACTTCATTCCCATCGCGGCCAGCGTCTTGTCGCCCAGCATCTTTGAGGCAATTGCCCCCCCCCCATCTCCTCCTCTCCCGATCATTGCGGCGAAGCAACACTGACACCCGAACCGCACACACCGCACACACCGCACACCGCACGCGCCGCACACGCCGCACACCGCACGCATGGCTGCGCTCTAAAGACGGCGGCCGACTCTCCCGCGCACGACGAAGCGATGAGCCTGCTCGCGCAGAGCCTCACCAAAGACACGGTCGGCGACCAGTTCGAGCTTCTCCGGTAAAAACAAAACACAAAATTGACCAACCGGGCGTGAGAGAGTTAACAACTGACCACCAATGATGGCGCAGGAGCTTCTTAAGGAAGCAGTACAGCGACAGGCCCCCGTCGGACGAGGAGATCCTGGGCCTGCTGGGCACCCACGTCGAGTCCTTCATCAGCCTCTCGGCCCACGTCAACCGGGCCTACCTCAACGCCCTCTTCCGCCAGGAGGTACACCATGTTGCGCCCCCCTCTTTTTAGCTCCGAACCTTAAAAGACACACTGTGCGCGCGTGCGGTCGTGCGTGTGCGTGTGCGACGCAGGCGTGGGACGCGTTCTATATTCTGGCGACGGAGCTGGCCCACAAGGCAAAGGGCTTCGAGTTCGAGACCTACGTGAACAACTTCATGCGGGACGTGGTGTTCCCGGCGTTCAGCAACTACCTCGACAGCTGCCAGGAGCCCAAGGCGAAGCTCCCCGCGAAGCGGGAGTGCATCAAGAAGATCGCGAGCTTCGACCTCAACATCACCCTCGGCGCGGACATCTCCTATCTCACGCAGCTTCTGCCCTCCGTTGTCAAGTGCGTTCTCAACACATGACACACGACGCACACGATGCACACGACGCACACACACGCACGACACAACACGACACACAACGCTGATGTGGGCAACAACAGGAACGTGTGGAAGAGCATCAGGAAGGACATCGAGAAGGCCAACCGAAAGGAGGCGGACAAGAAGAAAGCTGTCGCGTACGGGTCCCAAGCAAAAGAGACTCCGCCACCTCCATGCGTGCTTGTCTGACTTTGTGATGTGTTTGGGGGGGTTGAGCGACAGATTCGCCAAGAACATGCTGGCTGACTTGGAGGACATCATGGCGGGCAAGAGCTTCAAGACCGACGCCATCGAGTACGAAGTCAAGAAGGTCACCGACGGCCTCGTTGGCTTCATCTCTCAATAAGTTTCGCTCATATATAAATACGTTGTTGTTTGATTGTTGAGAATGGAAGTGAATGCACAACAGTAGTGTAAGAGAAGAAAGGGAAGAGTAAAGTGAAGAAGAAGAAGAAGCGCGCTGCTTAGTCGACCTCCTCCATCCTGGAGCCCTCATCAGCAGCGCTGGCTTCCTCGCTCTCGAGCGGCGGGAGGTCGTCGTCGCCCATGACGCGGTCGCTCTCGGTGTCCTCGATGCTGAGGCCCAGCTTGATCATGCGGTGGATGCGCTGGGCGAAGCCGCCCGGCTCCTCGAGCGAGAAGCCCGACGCGAGCAGGGCCGTGTCGAACAGGAGCCACACGAGGTCCTTCACGGTCTTGTCGTTCTTGTCGGCGTCGGCCTTCTTCCTGAGCTCGGTCACGATCGCGTGGTCGGGGTTGATCTCCAGCGTCTTCTTCGAGACCATGTAGGTCTGCATCGAGCTGTCGCGCAGGGCCTGGGCGCGCATGATCCGCTCCATGTTGGCCGACCACCCGAACTCGCCCGTCACCAGCACGCACGGCGAGTCCACCAGCCTGTTCGAGATCACCACCTACATCATCACCATCGCCATGTCATTAGTATCCAGTAGCACAATGTAAAAATGTAGAATGTAGAATGTAGAATATAAAAAACATGATGTACAATATGTTGAACGTTGAGAGTCGGAGTGTAGACGGTACCTTCTCGACCTTGTCGCCGAGGATGTCCTTGATGACCTTGCACAGGTTCTCGTTGGCCTTCTTGGTCTCCTCGGCCTTCTTCTTCTCCTCCTCGGTCTCGTCGAGCTTGAGGCCCTCCTTGGTGATGTTGACCAGCTTCTTGCCGTCGTACTCCTTGAGCTGCTGCACCATGTACTCGTCGATGGGATCCACCATGAACAGCACCTCGTAGCCCTTCCTCTTGAGGCCCTCCACGAACGGCGCGCTCTCGACCGCCTTCTTGGTCTCGCCCGTGATGAAGTAGATCTCCTTCTGGTTCTCCTTCATCCGCGTCACGTAGTCCTTGAACGACGTCATCTCCGCGCCCGACTTCGTCGAATGGAACCTCAGCAGCTCCGCCAGCTTCGTCCTGCGTGTGTCGTGTCGTGTCGTGTGAGTCACATGCATGCGTGTCGTGTCGTGTGCGGTGTGTGCGGCGTAGTGCGGTGAGTGCGTACCGGTTGGTCGAGTCCTCGTGGATGCCGTACTTGATGTTCTTGCCGAAGGCCTCGTAGAACTTGTCAAAGTCCTCCTTCTTCTCGGCGATCTCGTTGAAGAGCTCGATGCACTTCTTGACGAGGTTCTTCCGGATGACGCGCAGGATCTTGTTCTGCTGGAGCATCTCGCGCGAGATGTTGAGCGGCAGGTCCTCCGAGTCGACGATGCCGCGCACGAAGTTGAGCCACTCGGGCACGAGCTCCTCGCAGTCGTCGGTGATGAAGACTCGACGCACGTAGAGCTTGACGTTGGCCCGCTTCTTGCGGGTCTCGAACAGGTCGAACGGCGGGCGCTTGGGCACGAACACGATCGACTTGAACTCGAGCTGGCCCTCGACCGAGAAGTGCTTCACCGCGAGGTAGTCCTCCCAGTCGTTGGTCAGGTTCTTGTAGAACTGCTTGTAGTCGTCCTCGGACACCTCCTGCGGGTTGCGCGTCCAGATCGGCTTCGTCTTGTTGAGCAGCTCCCACTCGTGGTACGTCTCCTTGACCTTTTTCTTCTTCTTTTCCTTCTCCTTTTTCTCTTCTTCCTCCTCGGTCACCTCTTCGATCTTGGGCGCCTCCGCCGTAGTCTCCTCCTCGGCCTTCTTCTTCTCCTCTTCTTCTTCAGCTTCTTCCTCGACCTCCTTCTCCTTCGTCTTCTCGACCCAGAGCGAGATCGGGTACTGAATGAACTGGGAGTGCTTCTTGACGAGGTCCTTGAGCCGACGCTCCTCGAGGTACTCGAGCTGGTCCTCCTTGAGGTAGACCGTGATCTTGGTGCCGCGCTTCAGGGGCTCGCCCTCGGTGTCGCGCTTGATGGTGAAGGTGCCGCCGGCCGCCGACTCCCACACGTACTGCTCGTCGTCGTTGTGCTTGGTCGTCACCACCACCCGATCGCCGACCAGGTACGCCGAGTAGAAGCCCACGCCGAACTGACCAATCCTGATGTGTTGTGCATGTGAAGTTGCAATTGATGGTGAGTTAATGTTGCAAAAAAAGAGAGGAAAAATCAATAAAAATGATGGCGCTCGTACATGCTGACGTCAGCGCCGGCCTGGAGGGCCTCCATGAAGGCCTTGGTGCCCGACTTGGCGATGGTGCCCAGGTTGTTGACGAGGTCGGCCTTGGTCATGCCGATGCCCGAGTCGATGATGTGGATGCACTTGTTGGCCTTGTCGGGCACCAGGTGCACGTAGAGCTCCGGGTTGGTCTCGAGCGCGGGCTTGTCGGTGAGGCCGATGTAGCGGATCTTGTCGAGGGCGTCCGACGCGTTGGAGATGAGCTCGCGCAAGAAGATCTCCTTGTTTGAGTAGAAGGTGTTGATGATGAGGTTGAGCAGCTGGTTGATCTCAGCCTGGAAGGCAAACGTCTCCACGTCCTCTGCCATCGCGGTGCTGTGGTCTGGTCTCTGCGTCTCCTTGAAAAACTTGAGAGGGTTGTGTTGTGCTGTTCGCGGTTGTACTTGGTACAGTGATGAGGGAAGCGGCGCGAAGGGTGGGTGCCCTTTTATTTCCAGCCTGACCGAGTGTATGGTTGGTTGGGTGGGTGGGAAAAAGTGCGGAATTCATGAAAGGTGATTCAACCTGGAAAATCCGACAAAAAGAAGCGTGTTGGATAGCGAAATCCGTTCTTTGGGAGAATATTGAGTAGGATGACGAGTACCGCCCTCTTAACATTGTAATCTCCAGAATGTTTGGAATGAGAGTGTGTTCACCGCTCCGAGAGCCGGAGTTTAGCTCACCAGTTGACGAGAATCCTGTTCATCCAGCCTGTTAAAAAATGCCCCAGCTCTCACTGGGTGAAGTGCAAGGGCGGGAGAAAAGCAACTTGGAAATGTGAGTGATGAGTGAATGTTGATGTGTGAAGTGTAATCAAGCAGCTTGCTTGAACAAATGTGCAGGTAAGGAGAAGGAGGAGAAGAGGTCATGTCCTCAAGAGGATGAGAAATGTGCCCTGCCCAAGCCCAAGAGGCAAAAGGTACATGAGTCTGTTTTTTGAATCCACATGCAATTGAACCACATCCTGATCAGCTTGATGACTTCTTGGTATTCACCATGGTTCTTGGTGGTATCATTGACCACAGCCATGGCAAACACCTCTTTCTACACCCTCAGCCAAAAGATGCTAACCTTGTCATCTCCACACTCTTTCACCACATCTGAACTCACCTTTTGACTAACACCACCTCCAACACTCACCCTTCTATCCTCTACCTGCAGGCTGACAAGTTGTGCTGCTGAGAACAAGAATGTCTTAATGCTTGCCTTCCTCAGTCTCCTGGTCAGGTCTTCAGCCACAAGAGGGTTAACATGTCCACCATCTGGCATCCTCTGGCCAGTGACACCATCCCTGAACCCTTCTGCTATCTGCACCACATCCCCATCCCACACCCAATGTGTGAGGTTGTCTGCTCTGCTCCTGCTTTCCTCACTGCTCAATCATTGGACCACACCCCACTTCACATTGGCCTCTACAGCTTCCTCATCCAGAGCTTAGAGCTTCCCAATCCTTCTCCCCACCCCATCACATCACCCACCACTCCCTACCACATTCTCTATAAGGCAAATCCCACCTACTACCTCTCCTTCTGTGCTGCCCTTTACTCCAGCTTTGTCTGCCTCTCCTCTACCCCCATAGCAGAGGGCAACATCTCCTCTCTTGGCAACTGGCTCCTCACCTTCCACTCTAAATTCCTGGAGGAGTCAGATCTCAGCCATCACTTCCTTCCTACAAGGCCTAACTTCACATCCTGCCCTTGCCCCTCTCACACCCAAGACCAGCTCCTCCTCCTCTTCTGGTCCATGGAAAGTGTGGAAGTCCATTGGCTAATGTTTCCCTCCACTCTGTTCTGTTCCTTCTTTCAACAAAATACATTAGCCCTTTTTTTACACTTATGCCTTGAAATTCTTCATTGCCCCCACCTGCTTTTACCATGACCTACACCATTTTTCCCTGTTTTGCCACTCTCTGTACATATTGTGCCAAAACCACTCACACACCATGTTCACAAAAGTACTGCTTTTGCTGCACATACACAAAAATCACTTGTACAGATTTTACTTAACAAAAGGTGCCACTGGCACGTTTTTCTGGACACAGTGTTTTGATGTTACATGTTACACATAGTCCACAGCATCCATTGTACCAAGGGGGTGTTATAGTGTGCATGTGCTATCAATCTGATGCATGATAGATCACAAACATGAGGAACTTCAAGAGCCATCATAGCCAAATTATTGGCAAGAAGTACACATGGTTTCCTGAACTACTGTACAAGATTTGTTCACAGGTGCCATCAGAGTGTGCACATGCTGCCAATCTGACACACATCAGATCATCAACACAAGGATCTTTAGGGGATTTAATTGCCAAATTACTGCCAGGAAGCACTCAAGATTTCAAGTTGTTCTTTAACATCATTGGTCCAGGTTGGTGGTACAGTGCTCACTTAAGGAGGCTGCAATAATAAAGCAGCCAATCAAGAACTTGTGGTCATTTGAAATGAGAGGTCCAGTCATTTTGAAAAGTGATTTTGTTTGTGAGTTTAAGCTCATAAAAATGGTTTTGACAACACAAAAATGGTTTTAATTTAAGAATAGCAAGACAAAACTGGGAGCATCTTGAGAAATGGCAGATTAAAATACCATCATAAGTGCTCCTCTGAACACCCTCAAACTGCACCTTGCTTTTGCTTTCATACCCTCCATCAATTCCATAATCAGTGGCCAACATGCTGGCCTCACATCCAGTTCATGTACAACCTCACACCATATTCACTCAGTTGCACACATGCACTGAACTTCATTCTTCACATTTGTGCTGAATTGGAGCCCTATTCCTGAAGTTAAAATTCCACTCCATTCCACACTGCTAAAATCACTTTTAACTCCACAAATTCCAAGTTTTTATGAAATTATTTTCATCTCAAGTCCCTCAATATCACTTCTAAGCAGCAGTCTAGCATGTCAAAATCACACATGCAGATCCAAATCTTCAAAACTGTCCTGTAAATCAAAAATGTCCAATCTCACACGATTTTAGCACAACAAAAATTCCACAGTCATTTGTGACCTCTCATTTCAAATGACCACAAGTTCAAGGATATCCACATACATTCTTCAATAGGATTTAAAAAGCAGTGTGATGGCTCTGCTGTTTTTGTAGCCTCACACCTACTGCACACATCACCCTCAAGCCTACTCAGCAAAAGCCATGTCCACCACCCCTACTCCATCATCCACCCCTCTGGCATTGCCTCCCAGCCTGGCATTGACCTGGTGTGGCCTCTTCCATTCTCTTCAGTGGGTCATGCTGCCTCTGGTGACCACCTGAGAAGTGTTCATGCATGAGCTGCTTTGATCAAAAGGACAAAATTGAGGACAAGGAAGATGTGAGGAGCCTTGCCCAAGCCATGATCAAGGGACTGCTTGCCTTTGACACAGCAAAGAAGGTAGCCTCAATCCCCACACAGGAGTACCTAAACACACTCATCTTTGGTGAGCCCAGTATGCATGTGACATCAATCTCTACACATCTTTTGTGTCTCTGCTGATCAGCTTTGTGGATCTGGAAGCAGGCCTGGCCCAGGTGAAGACAGATCTGCTCACAGTAAAAATGGAGCTGCTGGAGGGCCAGCTCATGGTGGCAGTGGAGCTGATCAAGGTGAAAATGGTGCTTCTCAAGGTGAAGGAGACAAGGAAGGAGACAATGGTGAGGAGCCTGGATATGGCAACATGGGAGCTGGCTGAGGTGAACACAGTGCTCAAGGCAGCCACTGTTGGGGTGACAGAGGAGATGGCCACAGTGAGAGTGATGCTGAGGCTGTACCTAGTGTCTGATCTTGGGATGAGTGTGGGATTGCAAGGAGGCACAACAGTCACAGAGACACTGTGTGGCAGGAGCTTGCCACCAATGGGCCAGACAGCAACAGCTTCAAGATTGGTGTGGTCAATGGGTTGGCCATCAATATGGCCACACCACTTGGCCACAAGCCTGCACATGAGGGACCTGCTCCTGCAAAAAATTGCAACACTTGGGCATTTCCTGAGCCACTGAGCACCACTTCAGGTAAATTGCACATGCACACACACACACATGCACACACACATACACTGATGTTCCACATGCTGTGCCAACACAACAAACCCACAATCACAGGAGAAGGAGAGAGAGAGAGAAGAGGAGGCATGTGTAGATATGTCAGTAAATATGTAAAGGAATGGTATATAAGGTTACTTAGGTTTTGTAGATGTAGTTCAGTAGTGCACCTATGACCTTCTTGGTGTGTGAATGGTGTTTTACTTTGAAAACAACAGAAAAAATGGTGAGGCTGTTCATGCCAAAAGTAGGCGAAAACTGAACGGACAAGGGCGGAGGTAGTACGCACAGCGCGAAGGGGGGGAGCTCAAAATGGACCGCTGCCACCAGAGAGCTTCACCCAACCTTCCGCGACGACACAACCCCGACCTCACTACCAGACCCAGCACCCAAAAGATCAAATTTCCAACATTCTGCATTCGCTCTTTATCTTCTCGTTCAATTTCCTTTTTGTCTTGAGATTTTAGAAAATGGAACACACCCCCCATGACGCCGCCCAGCTCTCTTTCGTTCAAGGTGCCGAGAACTAGGTGGCCCACTCCATCTTGGTACGCTCCACCCATTTTTCCTTTTTTTTTTTTTTCTAAACCTAACGTCCCACGTGTTGTTGCAGATGCATTGCCCGGGCCAGGAGGCCTTTCATCGCGACGCTCCA